CAGAGCATGAGGATATAAAAATTGATTTCCAAGTTACTGAAATGCCTCCCCGATTTGCTGTGCCCTTTTCAGATGTCAAGGTGACAGAAGGCTCGGAGGCAGTGTTTGAGTGTGTGGTAACAGGTACTCCTGTCCCACTAGTGCAGTGGTTCAGAGGTGATGTCTGTGTGAAACCTACGACAGGGAAGTATGTTGTGAGTCAGAAGGAGGGACTTCACAGTCTGAAGGTCCAAAAAGTAGGTCCTTCTGATGGTGGCTGTTATCACTGTCAGGCAATGAATAGGTTGGGAGAAGCGATGTGCAAAGGCTCCCTCATAGTCATGGCTCAGAAGGGAGCAAGTACTAATGTGAGCAGTGAGACAATCACAGGCAGTGAACGACACAGGTCCCAGAAGTCTGACTTGTGTAAAACTGTGAGTCCAGGTGACCAGTCAGAAATAGAGCTGGAGTCTGAGTTTGAGAAGCACAGAGATGACTCAGAAAAAGCAACCCAACTGCTTGCAGTGGCTCAACAAGAGCAGGAATTGGAAGGGGAGAAATGTGTCAATGTTAGTTTTGATGTGTTTGCAGAACCGTCCCAAGAGGAAGGGGTTGAGTTTAGGGCAGAGGACTCTGAGAGCTGCAGCTTTGAGCTCCAGGTCACAGAAGCTGCTCCCACATTTCTGAAGCTCATTTCTGACTACAGTACATTTCTAGGTGCCTCAGCATGCTTCCAGTGTCTTGTGACTGGTTTTCCCCATCCAACTATCCGCTGGTACAAGGATGGGGTGTTATTGAAAGGGGACAGGTACTGTGTGCAAGAAGAGGAGGGGGGCTCTCATAGCCTTACTGTTGAAAACTTGATGCAAAGTGACAGTGGGCAGTACAAATGTGTAGCCACTAACAAGGCAGGAATGGCGGAGACCTGTGCTGTGTTAACATTATACTGAATTCCCACTATTTATTTGAGTCTCTTTCTTTTGAAACACTAGATGTTTTTATGCTGTTGTTCACTGCTGGTAAAAATGCAGCACTCATATTAGGGGCATTGTTTTTCATCTCTTTAGGGATGAAAACCACTCTATGTGGGCATATTTTTGTCACTCTTAAACTTGCTTGTTGGGGAATTTAAGTGAGATTTAACATGTGCATAGGTTTTGTGCACGCTCTCTGCACCAAGGTGTATTTCAGGCTCCTTCAAAGCTCCTTACTCATTCTTGTAAAGATATTGTAATTGACACTCATTTATATATGACTGAATTTTTTCGTATAGTGTACATAATCCTGTGTGTCTGTAACAGTCATTGTTGGTTTAGGCAGGCTAGAAATCCCCTGAAAATGTAGAAATCACTTTTTTTCTTGGAACCTAAAGGTATGGAATACTAACTTATGCTTGCTCTTTAGTTTGGACATAGTTTTGTGAAAGAACTCCTTAAACTGGTATTCCCCCTTCTCACAATGTTGTCTCAGAACATGTGAGTCTCACTGAGTCAAATCCTGTGTTTACAGTTTCTATCACTGCAATATTCTTACATTTGTGGGTCACATTCTACTGACTCATGAAACTAAATGACTTTTTTTTTTAAAGTCAATGGAATTATGCTGTTGCAAAGAAAAGCAACACAGTGGGAAAAAAAATGAAAATTTTGCATTAGTAGAGACTGGACAGGATTTTTTTCTCTATTACCAAGTAATAAACATGAAAACATATTTTGTACTGTATCTGTAGAAGTTAAGGGGAAAGCAGAGGGAGCATAATAAATCAATGGTTTAACTGTAAATGAATTAAAATAACTTTAGTTGTCCCCATATTCGTGTCATTCATAAAAAATACATAGTAGTATAAAAGTGAGAGATTTTTATGCAACATTCTTGTTTCACATTAGAACGGAATTTCTACGTACTCCCTTTTTCTTTTTTTTTCTTTTTTAATTAGTAACAGTTAAGTGTGCTATGTGTCAAGATGACCAGAAATAAGTAGAATATATTCAATTGTTATCTATCTGTGGCATTTTCTCAGCAGATTTTTATATTAATGTTCTCAATATGAGTATATATTTTCATATTTAAATAATGTTAATATGTAGGAAGAGGAATCAGCAGTAGCTGACATAATAAATCAGAACTAAATCTATCTTATATAACAATGATTAAGAAAAATGGGTTAAAAGTACTAAAGTTATTAATGCTTATCAGAAGTTAAATAACTAATTTATGTGCCATCTTTCCAGTTACCTATATGCCAAGGTGAAACCTTGAGTTCAGCAACCCTAAGCAAAAAATATTTTTACTTCGATTACATGTAAATACCTAGAAAAATTTTATAAAAAAGTTGCTGTCAATCAGTTGCCTTGCAAAGTCCTTTAAGGAGCATAGTGATTTATGAAAGAAGGAGCAAGTATAAAAGAACTATTCCTATAGTACATTCAGTAATATTCTTGCATGTTCTTATTTCTGAGTTTGATGAGTCCTCACACAGAGGTCAGCATGTCTCAAAAACTCAATAATCTTTTAAGACCATCCTGTCATTCACCTGGCATAGCAAAGAGTCACTTTGCCAAATGTGTTTCCCAGTATAAACGTAAAGTCAAGAGTGGCAAGTCCCAATGACTCAGGATGTAGGAAAAATGACTGGAGTGGTCAGGCTAATACCAATCTGTCACTTCTGTTTCTTGCCAGTCAATACCCAATGATAAATATTTAAGATCTGTACAATGTTAAAAAGCAGAGATAATTGTGATTTCTTATAGGTAATGGTGGTAGGAAAGAGAAGCATGAGTGTCTGATCCAGCGTAATGCTGGGAAAGAATTGCCTCATGATGCGTCCTTAATCCATTCCTTGTGTAGATGTGAAGCACTGATGCATTAGATAGCAGAGGTCCCTAGGGAAGCTGGCATGAATTGTCTGAAGTTATGCCAGCTGTGACATGAGGAGTCTTTTATGTTCAGAGCCAAATCAGGTCTTTGATTGGGTCCTAAGCAAGTGTGTTTAATTTTCATGTAAATGAAATGTAATTTTTATTAGAAACAGGTCCATAATTTTGTTTTGAGCTCTAAGCCAAACAGGTCCAAGTTCATATTCACATCTGAAATATATGGCCAACCCTTTTCATGGGTTTGTGGTTTATCTAAGTTTAAAGTCTTATTTTAAGTTTCATACATTAGCCAGGGGTGCTATAATGTGCTTATGGAGAAACAAAGTGTCACCTAAGCTACAATGATATAAACCTGGAGTAATTCTAGTTTTGGATAAACTTACCCTGGGGCAACTGCAAGACTTTAGAGCCATGGTTGACCATTTCTCTTGTGCTTCCACAGGAATTATAAACCTCACAGTTTGTCAGGTTTAATGTTGTCTTCATTTCTACAAACCTAGTAATTAAAGAAAAGGATGAATTATGTTTGTTATCAATGTGTATTGAATGTTAACACGTATGGTTAATTTGTGAAATAAACATGTAAATGATTTAAGTCTGTTGCTTCTTGTACTTTATTCATTTCATAGACACAGCTAAAATATGAAAAGGAATCTGTATACTTTTTCTGGCATAAATATTCAGGAACACAAAAAAGTGCACTAATTTTTGCCAAACTGTTGTATATAATGCATTCGCATGTGTGTTAACATAGGTTCCATTCTGCAATTACTATACTTTATGGCCACCCATTCTCAAATTCACTCGCATATTGTATTCCTGGGGAAACTGCCCTACTCTTTTAACAAAGCTGGTAGATAAATACTGAAGGATTGGTGTAATTTTTTAATTTTTTAATTATTTTTTTTACCTAAACATCTCTTCTCCGCAGTTAATCACTGTATGCATGGTGCTATGTCATGTTTATTATGGTATCTGTGGCAAGATTAGTCATTGATAAAAGCCATGAGAAATAATTGGGTAAGACATATTCTATTCTTCTTTCTAGTTGCTATTGGAATGCAGCAAAAATTATTGTCTCACAATAAGTTTTGGAACTTAAGGCACTGTAATTGAGAAACTTATCAAATTTCACCTGGGGACATTTATCCACTCACATTTCTTCTGTTCTTCTTTAACAAGTCTCATATCTTCCCAGCGTCAAATACTGTGGGCCTTGTGTGAGAAAATTTGACTCAGTGAGGACAATAGGATTTGATTTCCAAATGTGCTTTTCTGTGCTGTGGTTTTCACTGATGGCCTGTTCTTTTCCTGGAAGCCTCAGATTTCACTGACGTTTCTAGTGTCAAGCATCTGCAGAGAATGACATGATCTTGACGTCTGTTTCATTTTTAAACCACTATTATAACAAAGAGGTCCAACATAAAAATGTCTAAATTCACAGAGGCAAGGAAAAGAAAAACCTTAAAGTGTTCTGTCTTCTTTTTCTCTGCTATTGTGGAAGTTCTAATAGTCAGCATTATGACAAGGAGGAATTTAAAACCAGAGATTTGAATGAGTGACATCAAATCAAGGGTGCAAACTTGCAGTTTTAGTAATAATGATGTTCTAAGCATAAGTGTCTAATGACAAAACTAGGACAAAGTAGGGAGAGATAATATCTTAGTGTATTAGAAAAAGAGTTGAAAGAGATGAACGAGCTGCACTAGAAGAAGGATTGGTGTGCTGAAAATATTTGTGTTATTTTTCCAATCCTGTAATTCTGCTTTTTCTTTGCAGGCTTTGAGTTAAACCAGAGTCTTAGCACTGCTCTGCTGTACTTGCTTGTATCAGCATACATACAAATATGTATGGCATATACTACTTTAATTATATTTGTGAAATGGAGTAATCTTGACTGTTACTTGCACTGTACACCTTGGGGGCATTCCTAAACCATACTGTGATGTCAGGTTTTTAAAGAGACATCAATGTTGACCCAAATAGGAAGTTCATAAGTAACCTGACAGCACAGCATGTCTTACTGGTCTTGGCAGGTGTGTATTTGACAGGACCTCATGTTCATTGTTAACTGCTGTTTATTGCTATCTAGTTGTATTTTCCTAAACATCCTAGTAAAACGAAACAATTTTTTTTTCCATACAGACTTCTCTAGCTCTCTTCCTGTGTCTTCTGAGGAAGGAAGAAGTGTAGGCTACAGCAGTGGCCTTCAGTTGCCTGATAAAGAAAAAACACTTGAATTTGAGCCTGAAAAACCAGTTTATTCCACCAAAGCAGAGATGGAAACGGAGGGGGGCCAAGCCCCTGTTTTCCTAAAGCAGGTCTCAAATGTTGAAGTCTGGCAGGGAGGTGTAGCTAGGCTCTCTGTTACTGTTACTGGCAGTCCCACACCCAAAGTCCAGTGGTTTTTCAACAGTATGAAGTTAACCTCATCTACAGACTGTAAGTTAGTGTTTGCTGGCAATGATCACAGCCTCATCCTCCCATATGCGGGTGTGCAGGATGAGGGTGAGTACACATGTGTGGCCAGCAATGTACACGGTGAGACCACGTGCAGCGCCCACCTCCATGTGCATCAGCGGGTACCAGGGGGCCCTTGCTTTGCCAGGAAGCCAGACGGCATACGGTGTGCACCGGGTTTCACCGCAGTCTTTGAGTACACCGTGGCTGGCGACCCATGCCCTGATGTGCTGTGGTTCAAGGGGAGTGAACAGCTTTTCTCCGATGCACATCACTCTGTTTCTCACCATCCTGATGGGTCAGGCTCCCTGACAGTGCAGGAGTGCATGGAGGAGGACACTGGGCTTTACACTTGCAAGGCAGTGAGTGCCCTGGGTGAGGCCACGTGCTCTGCTGAGCTCCTTGTGCTGTCTGAGGAGCATGCTGTTCACAGGCAAAGCCCAGCCTTGCAGCATTCTGCAGTGGCAGAAGACCAGAGTCCCCTGTCATATGAGGAGGCTGGTGAACTTCCTGCTGCAGAAGGAGCACTGAGACTTGAGGCCATGAAAGAGCCCCTGGCCCTCCTTCAGCTCCAGATGATCCAGGAGGAACATAGGCTGCCCAGGGAGGACATCTTGCCCAGCCTGCCACCAGCCTGCCTGGCCACACAGACTGTTGAAGAGATGCTCACCCGGGCAGCCACAACACAAGAGAGTGACAAGCTTTTGGCAGAGCCCCTGGAAACCTTCCCTGCTGGCCCCCAGGGTGTGGTGCCTGTGGCAGCAATGGAGACACGACTGCCAGGCTGCCTTGGGACTGTAGCCACACAGATACTCTTGCCCAAAGAGCAGGTCATCCCTGAGACAGCAGAGCAAATGGCTTCTCTGAAGACAGAGGCTTCCCAAGCCCTTCTGCAGGTGTCAAGCACCACTGAGAACCGTTCCATAGATGGTGACCATATGCAGGTCCTTGAGGACTTCCAGGCAGTGCAGGGTGAGCTGAAGGCTGAACCTAGACTTGCCTCTGAACTGGCCTTCACTGGGGGCCAAGCCGTTCCTCTGGAGACCGTTTCTTCCCTCGAAACAGCAGAGGCGGACTTTGTTGCAAGAATCTGTGAGGGGCAGGCTGTGAGATTTCCCTTGCTGCTAGAAGAAAAACAGCCCCTGGAGGAGGAACACATTGTCAGTCTTGTCAAAGAAGGAAAATCCTGTGATGAAACCTCTGAGCTGAAGTCCCAGCAGGCTGAGACAACTATGGAGGCAGAAATACCCCTGGAGCAGCCTTTGTCTGTGCAAGTAATCAACACTGTGACTGGGCATAGTCAAATCAAGGATGTGGGTGCAGCTGCAGCCACTGCTGATGTAGCCTCTGAGGGTGTTCCCATCGAGACACCCACAGAAATATTGAAAGAGAAAGAGAAAGGGGAAGAAATCTGTGAGGAAGAGAGCAGTAAAGTTCTGGAAGCTAAAGCTGGGAAGCTACAGATCAAAGAGAGTTATCCCATCATACATAGCAACCTGGTCAACACTGTTGTGGAGGAAGGAGAAAGTGTCAGTTTGGTGTCTGTCATAACAAATGTCAGGGAGGTGAACTGGTACTTTGAGGGTAAACTGGTGTCTTCAGGTGACAAATTCAAGTGTTTGCAAGATCAGGACACATACACACTTGTAATAAGCAAAGCATGCAGTGATACTCACCAAGGAGAATACACCTGTGAGGCGCTGAATCAAGCTGGAAAAAGAGCAACAGCAGCAAAACTCACAATTGTTAAAGGAGGTTGGATTATGGGGATAAAATACAGTCTTTCTAATACACCGCTCTACTAATGAAACTACCCTACTATGTGTCTGTATCTTTGGATACAGATACAATATTAATATCACCATGCCGCTAATCAGAGGGCTCCCTTTCTCTCTGGATTTGTAGTCTTTTTTTACCAGATTGCAGTCTTTCACTTCCCTCACCCCAGTCTTTGGTCAGGAACTTTGTTGCTTCCTGTTCTCATGACACAAGCACAGTCAGGACAAGCTGTACCTCGATCCCAACTACTTCTCCCATTTTTGCCTGTTTCTCACTGCCGCACCCTCTCTCGCTCTTCGTAGTCATTCCCCAGTTTCAGCACAATTTCTCATTTGCACCACAATTTCTTACAGCTCCAGGATAGTGTGGTAGATGTTTGTATTGCCTTGTTATTTTTCATCTCTATCGCACGTGATTTTTCCAGTATCACCACTGTGTTTCCTGATGTCATTAATGCACCATAACACCGTCTGTCCACTGAGCCTGGTACTGCTTTTATTTCTTACTTTTTTCTTTTACAGTCACGTTATGCAGATTGCAAGTAAATCACCTTTCTTTTATTTTCAGTCAGTCACTTCACTGTTACTTTCCAGAATGTCACAGGCAGAGCTTTGAGTTACTCTCTGCTTCTGATTTCAGTTGCACCGATCCTGAGGAGAAGGCTCACACCAGTGGAGGTGGCTGTAAATCATGTGGCCAAGTTTACCTGTGAGGTAGAGACTGCACCCAATGTCAAGTTCCAGTGGTACAAAGCCGGCCGAGAGATATACGACGGGGACAAATACTCCATTCGCACATCCAACTACCTCTCCACGCTTGAGATTCTGAGGCCCCAGGTAGTTGACTGCGGAGAGTACAGCTGTAAGGCTTCCAACCAGCATGGCAGTGTAAGCTCTACAGCCCTTTTGACAGTGAGTGGTAAGTACAGACTTTCCAACACTTCTCTATAAAATATCTTGGCATATTGTAATGCTTTCATTGCTATACTTACACATGTTCATGGTAGAGCTCTTGATTGCCATTGTTATACATAGTCCATACCTAATTTTGGCAGGCATAAGCATAAAGAAGGAATAATTTTTGAAAATGCTGCTTTTAGGTGCTTTCTGTACCTAGAAAACAGAATCAGTGTGAAGTTTCAGAAGGCAAGAAAGAAGGGGGAGAGGGAGAGTGGGAGGAACTAGATTGTCAACAGAATGGGATTGCTTTGTGAATACATTCTTGAAGAAAGTTTATGACTTCTGGATGACAACATACACTTTTAAATCTGATTTCTTTGGTATGATAACTGTACAATTACCTTGGCACCCTACGTCTATGCTGCATCTATACTTGCGATGCAGGCTATGCAGCTACACATACCTCAACTTCTGTGTGCCATGGCCAGAGGAGACCTGTGTGTGATTAGGGAAATAGATCTTAAAGACTAAAAGATGGTTTAAAGCTGTTTCAGTTTTTGATCTTTTTGTCTATTGAGAGCTGTACAATTATCTTCTTTCTTTTTTTTTTTTCCTTTAAAAGAAATCCAAACCGCCACCTTTAGGTCTCTTAGTGTATAATGATTTTTTTTTTGTACATTGAAATTTCTTTTTATGGGAGGAGTCTTTATGTGCTCTTTGCTAAGTGCCAGATGCTAGACGCTGCGCAAACTGTGAAATGCATGCAAACTTGTCCATCTTGAGAGAATGGTACACAAACATATCAGTCTTGAAGCGGGGGAAGTTCCAGCTTTTGGTTCATTTCCCTTTAGTCTGTACATTCCTCCAGAGACCCAAAATGTCTTCAAGCTCTGAAGCAATATACAGACCCAAGAAGTACAAATCCAAAAGCCAAAATTCATCATCTTTAATATCTCTTACTTCCTTCACTGCTGGCTTCTTTTGGTTAAGAGTGTCCAGTGACTAACTGGCCCCTCATACTCTCTGTCCCTGGCAATTGTAAACAAAGAGCATAAGCTCTGGTCCTCACCTCTGGATAACATTGAACCCCTTTGTTTTGCAGAAGCATTACCGCCAACGTTTCTTACCAGACCTGAATCTATCACTACTTTTGTGGGAAAAAGTGCCAAGCTCCTGTGTACTGTTTTGGGCACTCCAGTCATCGACGTCGCCTGGCAGAAAGATGGCACGACCATTTCACCTTCAGACCATCACAGAATCTCCAAAGTGGAAAACAAACATGTGCTAGAAATTTCCCTTCTCACCATCAGTGACAGAGGGGTTTACACTTGCAAAGCTTCCAACAAGTTTGGGGCTGACATTTGCCAGGCTGAATTGATCATTATAGATAAGCCTCACTTCATTAAAGTGCTGCAGTCAGTGCAGTCAGCAGTCAATAAAAAAATACGCCTTGAATGTCAGGTAGATGAAGACAGGAAAGTAACAGTAGGGTGGACAAAGGATGGAAACAAAATTCCTCCAGGCAAAGATTATAAGATTTACTTTGAAGACAAAATAGCCTCACTTGAGATTCCTTTGGCTAAGCTGAAGGATTCAGGCCATTATGTGTGCACTGCCTCAAACGAGGCAGGAAGCAGCTCCTCTTCTGCCAGCGTCACAGTCAGAGGTAAGATAGTCCTATGCCCCCTTTACTTTTCTCTTCCTGGATTCCCTATTTGTTCTTTTGCAGGCTTCTCTGAGCAGGAATCACTCTGTGAACTCTTCTCAGACCTGCTGTCAGGTCCATTCACCTCTTGCTCATTCCTCTTCCTGCCTCCCTGTGCACTGTAGGGTGCTTCAATATTTCTTTCACTGGCCAGATCCAAGAATTGCTCCTGTATGCAGGACAGAGGTGGCAAAAGAAACCACAAAAACTGCAAAAAATGATGATTTTTTCTGAAGTCATGTTTTGTTCTTGTGCTAGGAACCAATCTTTCAAACCTTTGTATTTCAGCCTTTTTTCCTTTTTCTTTTTTCCCTCTCCTTTCCCTTTCTTTCTACTTTCCTTTCCATTTCCAACCTTTTTCCTTCCCATTTTCCCCCCTTTCTTTCCTTTTCTTTCCATTTTTAGAACCACCATCCTTTGTGAAGAAAGTCGATCCATCTTATTTACTGACTCCAGGTGACTCTGCACGCCTTCAATGCAAAATCAAAGGGTCTCCTGAAATGCAGGTTACTTGGTTCAAGAACAATAAGGAAATCCGTGAAAGCAACACACACAGGATGTCGTTTGGCAATTCTGTGGCTGTGTTAGATATTTTGGAGGTGAAAGTTGATGACAGTGGGAGCTACTCATGTGAAGCTGTAAACGAGGTTGGAAGTGACAGCTGCACCACCGAAGTAGTTGTCAAAGGTCTGTTCTTCTTGCTGCTGCCAGCCGCATTCTTGAGAAGAAACTTCTCTTCCTTTTTATTTTTGGCATGGTTGACTAATTCTTTCTTGCTGCTTTTATAGAGCCTCCGTCTTTCATCCGAACACTTGAACCAGCAGAGGTAGTAAAGGGAACAAACCCCGTTCTTCAGTGTGAGGTTGCTGGTACTGGACCATTTGAAATTAGCTGGTACAAAGACAAGAAACAGATTCGCAGTAGTAAAAAATATAGGTTGACCTCTCAGAAAGCTGTAATTTCTCTGGAGGTGTCCTCGTTTAATAGTGCTGATGTCGGTGAATACGAGTGTGTGATAGCTAACGAAGTCGGGAAGTGCATATGCAGTGCAACATACATCTTGAAAGGTCAGTGGAAGAGAAAAACCTCCACTTACTGAAGGAATTGGCAAGAACCTCTCATTACTTAAAATGTCTTTTCTTTGGATTTGTGGGCTGCTAGGGAGATTGGGGAGGGGAGGTTATCTTTTTCTCTTAAAGTTCTGTGTATATCTTATCTGGCGCTAAACCTGTGAATTTGAATTGAGCTTAAAGGGGTCCCCAGCTGGGGAATGCAGCTCTTTTCTTGCTTCCTCTTTAGCTGAATTGTACCATGTACTTCGCATATTGTCTCGTGTAACTGTCTTTAAGCAGTGGATTTCATGGGATGATGTGGTAGAAGATGAGTATTTCTTCTTGTCTCTTTTCTTTGAACTAGAACCACCATCTTTTGTTAAGAAAATTGAAAATGTAACAGCTCTGGCTGGAGATAGTGTTACATTACAGGCTGTGGTGAAAGGGTCAGAGCCTATTTCTGTGATGTGGATGAAGGGAAAAGACATTATTCAAGATGATAACAAAGTGAGAGTGACATTTGAACATGGTCTAGCAACACTGCAAATTACCGGTGTCCAGCTGAGCTCTGGTGGGAAGTACACCTGCGTGGCTGAGAATGATGCAGGAACTCAGTCCTGCTTTGGTGAACTGTCAGTGAAAGGTCAGTGGAGTATTGCTGTGATCCCTGCATTGTCACCCACCTGAGAAGAACAAGTTCCTTTTGTCCTTAACACCAGCTGTTTAATTCTGTTATAGAACCTGCCAAAATCATTGAAAAATCTGAAATGATCCAGGTAACAGCAGGGGAACCAGCCATTTTGGAGTACACTGTTACAGGCACTCCAGAGCTAAAAACCAAATGGTTCAAAGATGGAAGACCACTACCTGCCAGCAAAAAATATAGGATCAGCTTTAAAAATAACATTGCTCAGCTTAAGTTTTATGCCGCTGAACTGCAAGACAGTGGCGAGTACACCTTTGAGATATCCAATGATGTGGGCATCAGTTCTTGTACTACCAGCTTCACAGTGCTAGGTTGGTACTGACTCTTTGCAAACAACCCTGCTATTCTGCTCTGAGCCCAACAGAGCAGAAGCACAACGGCATGTTTGGTTTTCTCATTAGTTTGTTTCTTTCATATCTTTCACTCTCAACAGATCGCACTCTCCCTCCCTTCTTCACTAAACCCCTGAAGAATGTTGACAGCATCATTAACACGTCATGCCGCCTAGACTGCAAAATTTCAGGCTCTCTTCCAATGACTGTCTCTTGGTTTAAGCAGGACATTGAGATCACTTCAAGCGCCAAGTACACAGTACACTTTGCAGAAGGTTCTGCATCTTTGGAAATAAAACACCTAGATGCAAGTGATGCTGGGGTCTACATTTGCAGAGCCACAAACTCTGCTGGTAGCAAAGAGAGCAGTAGCACTTTGTTTATAAAAGGTTTGGCAATTTGTTTAAAATTTCTTGGAATTTTTTTTTCATTTAATAATACTTTTCTTCAGGCCATGTGTCTCACTCTTGACATTTGCTTCCTTTCAACAAAATCTAGAGCCACCCAGCTTCATTGTAGAACCAGAGTCCCAAGATGTACTGCCTGCATCAACCGTACGTTTCAAAGGCACATTTAAAGGCACAACACCACTGATGGTGAAATGGTTTAAAGGTGAAACTGAGCTGGTGACAGGAGGAGCCTGCTACATCATGACAGAAGCGTTAGCAAGTTACTTGGAACTTTACGCAGTCAAACCAACAGACTCAGGAAAATACACCTGCAAAGTCTCCAATGTAGCTGGTTCAGTATCATGCAGTGCAAACTTGTTTGTAAAAGGTTTGCATTCTTCTGTCTTTTAAACTTTCAGATGCTGGATTGACCCAGTAGCACTCTTTCCTGCTTTCTTTATCCTGAACACTCTTCTTAAACCCACAGAACCTGCTGCCTTCAAGGAGAAGCTAGAGCCAACCCATCTGGTAAAGAAAGGTGGATATGCTGAGCTGACCTGTGAAGTCACTGGTACTCCTGAGATTAAAATCACGTGGTTCAAGGATGATAGAGAGCTAAAAGAGAGTGACAAATATAGAATGTCTTTCACAAAATCCTTGGCAGTACTTCATGTTATAGAGGCTGAGCCTGAAGACAGTGGGGAATACATTTGTGAGGCCAGAAATGATGCTGGGAAAGATATTTGCAGTAGTGTCGTTACGATCAAAGGTGTGTGTGACATCCAGCCATGCAGTTTGTCTCTTTAAACTCAATACAACTTTATAGACTTCAAAAGTATGACTAATACAACTGAACTCTCTCTTTTGCACTGTAGAGTCACCTTATTTTAGCAAGGAGTTTCAATCCATGGAAGTCTTGAAAGATTCTGATGTGGTTTTGGAGTGTGAGGTGCTTGGCACACCTCCATTTGAAGTGTTCTGGGTGAAAGATGATAAACCCGTGCGGAGCAGTAAGAAGCACAGAATAAGCATTGAGAAATCTTTGATTAGCCTCCATGTTTTCAGGTTTGATGCTTCTGATGTTGGCGAGTATCAGTGTAGAGTAACAAATGATGTCGGGAGCTGCTTCTGCAGTTCAGAGGTTACACTGAAAGGTTAGTGCAAGGTGCAGAATGCCACTAGCATGCTTTTATCCCAGTGTGGCTTTCATGCCACACCATCATGCACCAGACTCATACTTACATGTCCATTTTCTTCCTGCCAGAGCCCCCACAGTTTGTAAAAAGGATAGAAAACATTAGTTCCCTTCGAGGGGGAACAGTTGTGTTTCAGGCTGCTATTAAAGGCTCCTTGCCCATCACTGTGTCCTGGCTGAAAGACAATGAAGAAGTGATTGAAGATAACAATATAAAAATGACTTTTGTCAACAATGTTGCCACTCTTCTGGTGAGGTCTATTGAACTGAAACATGATGGGAAATATTTCTGTCAGGCTAAAAATGAGGCAGGAATTCAGAGATGTTCTGCTCTGCTGACTGTCAAAGGTTGGTCCTACCCTGAGGGTTTGTGGTGATCTCAGACTGTTCCTTGGTGGTTTATACAGATGCTCTTAACACTCTTATCTCCTTGTTTACAACAGAGCCTGCTACAGTTGTGGACAAGGCCGTGTCAATAGATGTGACTGAGGGAGACCCAGCAACCTTGCAGTGTAAATTTTCGGGAACAAAACCTATTACAGCCAAATGGTTCAAAGATGGCAAGGAATTGGCGTTAGGCCCAAAATACAAGATCAGTGTTACAGATACTGTCTCAGTCCTAAAGGTGCTTTATGCAGAAAAGAAAGATAGTGGAGAATACATTTTTGAGGTTCACAATGACGTTGGAAGCAGTAGCTGTTCTGCCAACATTAATGTCCTAGGTGTGTATGAGCTCTCTTTTATCATTGTTTTCACATAAAATACATTTTATCCTGAGCTCACATCTGTGCAATCAAGGTTGAATTTCATGCTTTGTTTTTTTACTGTCTTGGATAGATCTCATTATACCACCTAAATTCACCAAAAAGCTCAAGAAAATGGACAGCATTAAGGGCTCTTTTGTCCATCTGGAATGCATAGTGTCTGGTTCACATCCGATAAGTATCCAGTGGTACAAGGATGGCCAAGAAATAACAGCAAGTGAAAAGCACAAATACTCTTTCCATGATAATACTGCATTTCTGGAAATCAATAAACTGGAAGGCACAGACAGCGGCTCTTACACTTGTGAAGCAACCAATAAGGCGGGAAGCAGCCAGTGCAGTGGGTTCTTAACAGTCAAAGGTTTGAGTTCCTTCTTTGTCTTGTGTTAGGCCTTTCATTCATAACTTTGGAATTCACCTGTATCAGAGTAATCTTCTTTCTTCCTTTTTACATGTTACAGAGCCACCATATTTTGTAGAGAAACCCCAGTCCCAAGAGATTGTGCCCAATGCTAGGGTTCAGTTCAAAGCACTGGTGAAGGGCTCTACTCCTCTGCAGATAAAGTGGTTTAAAGACAGCCAAGAGCTCCTCTCTGGAGCCAATCGATCTGTCTGGAAGGACGACACATCTAGTGTACTGGAGCTCTTCTCGGCTAGGACATCTGACTCTGGGAACTACACTTGTCAGATAAGCAATGATGTGGGGACTGCAACTTGCAAGGCAACTTTGTTTGTAAAAGGTGTGCAGCTCAATATTCTCCTCATTGTGCTTCTGATTTTTCTGTGTAATTTGGAGGGAGGGGATAGGAAACCCTTGTATTTCTTTACATCACCTGAATATTACAAAGCCTCACCTTTTCTGTCCACCTTCTAGAACCTCCCAGGTTTATTCAGATGCCAACTTCCGTAGTAGCTTTGCGTGAAGGACAGTCCACCACTTTCGAATGCCAAGTAGTAGGCACACCAGAGATCCACATAACATGGTACCTGGATGGTAATGAAGTGACTGACCACGCCAAGTACGGCATCTCCTTCATAGACGGTTTAGCCACTTTGAAATTAACTCAAGCCAGAGTGTCAGATAGTGGGATTTATGTTTGTGAAGCCCACAATGATGCAGGTAGTGAAAGCTGCAGTATCGAGCTGAAAGTAAAAGGTTTGTTTTGAACATCTTGGCATTTATGCCACATAGCTGGGGTGATGGAGTAGGGGAGACTTCTCCCCTCAAAATCATTCGAGGCTACTATTTGCCTTCTCTTCATTCCTCTTTGTAGAGCCTCCAACATTTGTTCGGGAGTTGCGTCCCACTGAAGTAGTGAAGGGTTTGGAAGCCATACTTGAGTGCGAGGTGACTGGTACTCCTCCATTTGAGGTGAAGTGGCTGAAGAACAATAAGGAGATGTTCAGCAGCAAGAAATATGCCATCTCCACCAAAGAATCAGTATTTACTCTTAATGTGACTAACTGTGATGTCTCAGATGTTGGTGAATATCAGTGTATTATATCAAATGAAGGTGGGAGCTGTTCTTGCAGCACAAGGCTCAGCTTGAAAGGTCAGTTCTTTAGGAAGTATACCCATAACATTATATGCTCTGGCTAAACTGTAGTGACTAGGATGACTTTATATTATCTCTCTTTCCCCCTTTCCCTTTCTATGACTTCTCTTCCAATCAAAAACCAAAACTTCACACCACAGAACCACCATCCTTTGTCAAGAAGCTGGAGAATGTCACTAGCATTTTGAAAGGTACTGCATTCTTCCAGTGCATTGTAGCTGGTGCTCAACCCTTATCTGTGTTGTGGATAAAAGATGAGAAAATACTAGAAGATGATGAGCACCACCATATCACCTTTGAGAACAGCGTGGCCACACTGGAACTTACCAATATTGACCTCAGCCACAGAGGAAGATACACTTGCCAGGCAAAGAATGAATCTGGCATGGAGAAATGTTTTAGTCTGCTTTTTGTACAAGGTGTGTACAAGGTGTGACCCTTCAAGCCATCCTTGATGAGTACTTGGAAAGTCAGTACCCTATCTATGTATCTAACTGTTATTTTTATATACTTTATATCTCAGAGCCTGCACAAATCATAGAAAAGGCTAAATCACTTAAAGTCACTGAAAGAGACCCTGTGACTTTGGAGTGTACTGTGGCTGGAACACCAGAGCTCCGAATAAGATGGTACAAAGATGGCAAACAACTCCTACCCAGTAGATACTACACAATGAGCTTTGAAAACAATGTGGCCAGTTTCAGGATTGAACCTGTATCAAAGGAGGATAGTGGTACATACAGTTTTAAGGTTGAAAATGACTTTGGAAGTAGCACCTGTGAAGCTGTTCTCACTGTCCTAGGTTTGTATTGTCATTTGGTGAATTCACCAATCCAGCAGGGAGGGAATGAAAAAATTATAATCTCTGTGAAAGATAGGCAAGAAGGTAACCAGTCTGGTTTTGCCATTTTTTTGTGTTGGGCAGATCAATCAATTCCTCCTGCATTTATCAAAAAACTAACCAAAAAGGATACTGTTCTGGGATCTTCTATCCAAATGGAGTGCAAAGTCTCTGGGTCACTTCCCATTACTGCAAAATGGTATAAGGATGGAAAAGAGATAACTGACAGTGCAAAATATAGAAGCCTATGCCACGAGAACACTATGTCACTCGAGATTGCTAACCTAGAACTGGCAGACAGTGCAAATTACATGTGCAGTATCTCTAATGTTGCTGGGAGCGATTCTTGCAGTGCCGTCCTGACTGTGAAAGGTTTGAAACTCTTTTGCTGCTTGTTTGTGATGGATGCTGGGAAAAATATCTTAAATCTTATGCTAACATAAGACTCTTATACCTCTTAATATAAATGCTGAAAACTTGGTCTCCATGCTTACCTTACTAAATTTCTTCATTCTTCCAATGAAGACATTTCTGATGTAACTGAATGTTTCTTTTTCTTGAAAACTGCAGAGCCACCAAGCTTCTTAGTAAAACCTGAAAGCCAGCAAGCCATCCCAGATTCCACAGTGGAGTTTAAGGCTACACTAAAAGGAACACCACCCTTTACAGTAAAGTGGTTCAAAGAAGACTTAGAACTTGTATCTGGTCCAACCTGTTTCATTGGGATTGAAGGGTCAACTGGGTTCTTAACCCTCTATTCAGTGGATACTTCTAGGAGTGGGCGCTACACTTGCCACATTTCTAATGACGTTGGCAGTGACTCTTGCACTACAACACTGATGGTAACAGGTGTGACTTCTTTCTTGTGTTACAGTCTTTTCACCTATTTCTTTTCTTTCCTTTTTTTGCCAAGCCCACCTCAGTGATATCAATACACTTTCATGTGAATTCCCTACCCTGTGTTTGCAACCCACAGTTCTTTGGTTCTTTCCCCTCCTCTTTTCTTTCCAGTATTAATTCAGACCTTTCTGACTCCACTTTTTCTGCTTTTTTAGAACCACCCAAGTTTGCTAAGAAGCTAGAGGCAGCAAAAGTAGTCAAGCAGGGTGACTCAGCCCGGCTTGAGTGCAAAGTAAGTGGGTCTCCAGAGATGAAAGTAGTGTGGTTCAGAAATGACCATGAAATTGTTGCCAGTGAAAAATTCCGGACATCATTCATTGACTCCTTGGCTGTGCTTGAAATGAATTATCTCAGTACTGATGACAGTGGTGACTACATCTGCGAAGCTCACAACCCTGCCGGCAAGGCCAGCTGTAGCACTAAAGTCACAGTGAAAGGTTAGATATCCTCTTATTCTCTTGACTACATCCCTTTTTTCCCCTGGTGGCTTTATCCTTTGAAAATAAACAAGAACAGGAGATTAATTTAGTATTTTAGGACTGACTTTTTCTTCATGTTATGTTTGTTTCTTGAGGGCCCCTCCCCCCCTCTGTCAGTGCCTGAACAACAGCAATGTTGTTCTTAATGCAGATGAGTCCTAAGTTAGGTGATCCCCAGGTTTATGACTGTCAACATCGAGGACAGATCATAGTGGGAACTGCTATATCAAGGAGCTGAAATACAAACTGAAAGAATAGACCCAGAGTAATCAGCATCAGTTTTACACCCTGTGTTTGAGACAACTATCAGATAAATGAGACCTATACCCTGTCTTCCAAGGACCACCCCTCTGTTCACCTTTTCTACAGAAGAGCTAAGAGCTCTGGATGCCAACTACTTGCAAGATTATTTCATAATGTGCCAAGAAAATGAGGAAAGTCTGTGCCCATTCTGCTGATTTTTCTCAGCTGTCTCATTGTGTAGAAGCTGGTATGAGTAAATGATTTGCTGGTCAAATAGCTCCAGGCTCCTTTCTAAAAATGTTCCTTTCTTCCCTTGTTAGAACCTCCTGTTTTTAGCAGGAAGCCCTCTCCAGTAGACATGCTCAAAGGAACTGAGGTTAGCCTGGAATGTGAGATTTCAGGAACACCACCATTTGACGTTACCTGGTACAAAGACAGGAGGCAAATCCGCAGTAGTAAGAAGTATAAGGTTACAGCCAAAAACTACCACACCAGTGTTCGCATTCTTAATATTGAAGCTGCAGATGTGGGTGAATATCAGTGCAAAGCCCAGAACGACATAGGAAGTGACACTTGTTTTTGCACTGTGAAGCTGAAAGGTAAAGTATTGACACATATGCCTTCTGCAGTGCTCCCAATGGCACTGCATTACTCTTCTTTCATAGACACTGTAAGTATTTATTATAACTGCCTATTTCTTCTTCAGAACCACCAAAATTCTTGACTAAAATAAACAGTGTGACTGTTGTGGTTGGTGAACCAGTAGAGTTACAAGCAAGAGTGGAGGGCTCCCAGCCAATTTCTGTGCAGTGGCTTAAAGACAAAGAGGAAATTATTAGAGAAAGTGAAAACACGAAGATCACGTTTATGGAAAATATTGCAACTTTACAACTTCTGCACACAGAGACAAGCAGTGCTGGAAAATACATCTGTCAGATCAGAAATGATGCTGGAAGTCGAGAGTGCATGGCTACCTTAAGTATTCTAGGTTGGTAAAAAGCATAGGTGCACAATAGGGTTGTTTTTTTTCTTTTTAAGTGAGGATCTTGGCTGTTTAGTGTCAGCTGCATGATGTCCTTATTCCCATGAGTTTAAAATGAGCAAAGCAGAGATTTCTTGTATCCCCAACAAGCAGTAGTCAGGTTCCTTATTTTCAGTTGTCCAAGGATAAGGGTGAGAGGAACCACAGGCTTCTAGATGGTTATGGGATCCAGTTGACTGAATTTCTGTCATGTCTTCTGCTCGTCTGCTTAGAGAGAGACAAACAGTTGTGTTTCTCTCCCAGGAGTTTAAAAATGTTTTTAATTTATTTTGGAGAGCATCTGAAATCTCCAGTTTAGGGCAGAATAAAGGGTGTTAAAAAAAATAAAAATAAAAAATATTTTAAAAAAGCTGAAAAATTCCCCAGCCCAAAAGCCTGGGATATCCCTAGAATCAAATGTGTAAACCCCATCTTAAAATGCTATAACACTTACAGCTAGTGCTACTTAATTTCTGTGTTCACCATACATGTTACCCATCTCTCCTTCTAGAGCCTGCAGTCATTGTAGAGAAAGCAGAACCAATGAGAGTTACTATAGGAGACGCCTGTACTTTGGAGTGCAAAGTGGCAGGCACACCAGAGCTTTCCACGGGGTGGTTCAAGGATGGCAAAGAGCTGACCAGCAGCCAGAAATACAGAATTACTTTCCTCAATAAAGTATCTACGCTTAAAATTATGGATGCAGAAAAGGAAGATGCTGGACTGTACACTTTTGCAGTGCAGAACGACGTGGGGAAAAGCAGTTGCACAGCATCAGTTGATGTTTTAGGTTGGTTGGGTAGCTTGTTTTCTGCCTTTTACAAAAACTTCCACTCAGTCATGTTCTCCTTTCTTTCTCCCATTCCTTCCTTCCTTTTCTTTCTAACCATGTATTTATTATGTTTTCTTATGCAGATCGAATCATTCCTCCTTCTTTCACAAGAAAATTGAAGGAAACTCCTTGTGTTCTGGGTTCCTCAGCATTGCTGGAATGCAAAGTGTCGGGTTCACCTCCTATTTCTGTGGCTTGGTTCCGAAATGGACTTAAGTTAGTCAGTGGGGAAAAACATCAAATCTCCTTTTCAGATAACCTTTGTATTTTGGAAGTGAATTCACTGAGTGATTCAGATGCTGGAACTTACACCTGCAAAGCTACCAACATAGCTGGTTCAGATGAATGCAGTGCTGTATTGACCGTACAAGGTCAGTATATGGTGATCAGGAAGCTCTCTAAGCTATTCTTTTCTCTTTTTCTCTTGACATTACCTATAGTCTTTTGTAAATATGCTTGGGGAAAATTATTGATGGGGAAAATAAAGATTGTGTTCTTTACCTTCATTAGGTGTGGAAATGCCAGGATTATGCTGTAGCAATCTGTCTTACCTCTCTTTTTCTCTTGTGTGTTTAGAACCACCTTCTTTTGAGAGGACACCAGAGGCTCTGGATGTCTTGCCAGGCACAAGCATCACTTTTACATGTGTTATCAGAGGAACCCCACCTTTTAAGGTGAACTGGTTTAAAGGGTCCAATGAGCTTGTGCCAGGAGACAAATGCAATATCTACTTGGAGGACTCTGTTGTGGAGCTTGAGTTATTTGACGTAACTCCTCTCCAAAGTGGAGAATATACTTGTCTAGTGACTAATGATGCTGGCAGGGCAAATTGTACAACACACCTTACAGTAAAAGGTTTGTAAAGATGGCGTCTCTCTATTTACCTTAAAGTATTGTTTCCTTTCCTCCATTAGTCCTGTAGTGCTCAACATTTGTGACTTCTTACCCTTTGTTAGAGCCAGCAGTCTTTGTGAAGAAACTGAGTGATCAGTATGTAGAGCCCGGCAAGGCCATCATCCTGGAGGGAACTTACACAGGCAGCCTGCCCATCTCTGTGACATGGAAGAAGAATGGCCACACCATCACTCAATCTCAGAAGTGTAGTATCACCACCACAGAGAAATCCTGCATCCTGGAAATACTTGACAGCACCAAAGGGGATGCAGGAGAATACACTTGCCATGTTGAAAATGAGGCAGGAAGAGATGTTTGTGGGGCTATAGTCTCTACTCTAGGTGTGTGCTCCCTTTGCTTCTTTTTCTTGCTTGTTCTTTCAAGTGTATGTCTTACAAGGCCTGGCACTATAATGAGCCTAAATGCTTCTCTTTTTCAGAACCTCCCTATTTTATTACACACTTGGAATCTCTTGAGGTGTCAGTTGGGGATTACACAACATTGCAATGCCATGTTGGTGGTACACCAGAAATCACTGTGTCTTGGTACAAAGGTGATACAAAACTCAGATCTACTCCTGAGTACAAAGTATTCTTTAAAGACAATGTTGCTACACTTATTTTCAACAAAGCGGTTAGCAACGACAGCGGAGAATATATCTGCAAGGCAGAAAACAGTGTAGGAAGTGCATCTACAAAGGCTCTCTTGACAGTTCAAGGTGATGATTTTATATTAACTTGCTACAAACTCTTTTTCTCTTACAAAATTACGTAAAAAAACCTGTTTCCTGGGGCATAATTATCCTTTACCTACTTTCTTCCAGAGCGCAAGCGACCACCTTCCTTTGCAAGAAAATTAAAGGATATCGAGCACCCTGTTGGATTACCCCTTAAATTTATGTGCCGGCTCAATGGCTCAGAACCCATTACTGTGGCTTGGCATAAAGACGGTGTGCTGCTAAGCGATGACCACAATGTGCACACATCCTTTGTAGATAATGTTGCAGTGCTGCAACTGGTGCAAACCGAGATGAGTCATACTGGGCAGTACTCCTGCACAGCCACCAATGCTGTGGGCACTGCCACCTCGAGTGCTAGGCTTACAGTGGCAGGTGTGTTGGCTTACAAAACTTTTGCCTTGACCATAGGCTACCCCTTCCTGTTTCATGCATGCAATGGTATCAGTGTGTTGGATTAGCTTTTTCATGAAGTATGAGTACTACATGGTTTTCTTGCCTTTCTAGAACCCAAGCAAGCACCTGTGTTTGACACCAAGCCAGAATCTATTGATGTGCCTTTTGGCGAAAGTGCTGACTTTGAATGCCATGTTACTGGAGCACAGCCAATATGTATCACCTGGTCCAAGGATGGTCGGGAGATCCGAACTGGAGGAAACTTCAATATTACATTTGTAGCCAACACAGCTCACCTTCGTGTGCTCAGAGTGGGTAAAGGAGACTCTGGCCAATATACTTGCCAAGCTAGCAATGAAGTTGGTAAAGACTTTTGCTCAGCCCAACTCTGTGTCAAAGGTATTAAGTCACCTTCATCTGTTCGTTTTTTTTTTACTTGAGTAAACAGACCCCTTTGTTACTGAGTTCCATCTTCCACCCTTTCCAGTTTGGGATCATTAGTTTTCCAGAAAGCAGACATGTGGTGGGTGACCTTCTATCATACAGCATGACAGTAGAAGCCTTCTGTACCTCAAAATCTCCAAGGGGAAAGATCCCCTTGTGAAGTTTTATTTGGTCATTATTTCTGAAACTACAGTCAGAGTGGTATTCACACATAGCAAATACTATGTGGAAAATGATGATACAGTAAATACAACTACTTTACATCCATAGGCCAGCATTAGTGACAATCAAATTTGCTAAGGATTTCAATTGGAGTTCTGAAATGCTGATATAATCTAGACTATGAATCACTCAAATTCTTCATGCAGAAATATGTTTTAAAGATTTGTATGCAAGTGAAACTATTCCTACCGTGTTTCTGTGGCTCCTATGGGTGAAGCGCTTGTCAAATCTTTCATGCTGGCCTGGCAATATTTTCACCTCTCAAAGGTAACAAAAAAAATTCTCTTGGGTGTTGCAATCATCCTTTTTGTGTTTCTATAGTTCCAGATGACTCATCAGCCTCCAGAGTTGGCAGAACATGGTTTTAGTTGTTGTTTTTTCTTTCTTTTCTCTGTCTTTCTTGAGAGGAAACTCTGGTTGGAGATACAGCCAACTGCTATAGCAAGCTTACTTTCTTGTGCTGCAATACTCTTGTGTTCCCCATAACTCTTTCTCAGCACTGTAGATTTCACATGGCTAACAGGTATACTGTCACTCTTTACATACTGTTCTGCAGAACCTCCCAAGTTCATCAAGAAGCCTGAAGCTTTGCGGTTCGTGAAGCAGGGGGACACAGTGCAACTTGAATGTAAAATCAGTGGCACACCAGAGATCAGAATCGTGTGGTACAAAAATGATCAGGCACTCCAGGCGAGCGACAGGCTCCACATGTCCTTTGTAGACTCCATGGCAATACTAACCATCTTGGATGCCAACACTGAGGATGCTGGTGACTACATATGTGAAGCTCAGAACTCTGCTGGCACAGCCAGCTGCAGCGCTTCAGTCACAGTTAAAGGTTAGCAGCACGGCTCCACACACTACCAGAATCCTTGTCTTCTGGGCCCTCTTCCAGCCACACATCCCCCTGGACAGGGAGCTGCTGCTATGGCAGTTGATGGCTGCTAGGGCAGTTTCTCTCCAGCTACTCTCACATTCAAATGCTGCTGTTTTTAAACAGCAGAGATGAGGCAGGAAATGATGGTGGGTGTTCAGCATTGTGCAGCCATTCTCTTGTCTTCTCCTTTAAGTCATTTACAAGATGAATAAGGCAAGCTTGTCAGACCGCAAAGGGAGCATGGACTAGGTGTTACACAAGCCATGGTGAGGAAGCTAGGCGTACTTTACAGCCATCCCTTCATCTCCTTTTTATAGACAGTGATGCTGGCAGGAATGAAATTTAAGACAGAAGAGGAGGCTGTGTTGCTGAACCTCACTGATGGTAGCTTTCATGACTGTAAAGAGGCGGGTGAAAGCTGGAATGTGGTCCTGGAGAGTGGCTTTTGGGGAGGGGCACTGAGCACTGACTCCAAACAGGTGCAGAAGCATCATATTTCTGCCCTTGAGGCTCTGAGTGCTGGGTTGGCTTGCTGGGAGATGGCAGGGACCCAGCATTTTTTAGAGGTGACACCACACATTCGGATATGGGTTTACAAGACTAAGTGTAGGCCCCCTTCCTGAATACCTTGCTTCCTATTATCCAGAAACCCACCCAGGGAAGGAGGCTCACACATTATATGTGATTCTTTTTTTATAGAGCCACCTGTTTTTAGCAAGGTGCCAAGCCCTGTTGACACACTTAAAGGCTCAGATGTTATTCTCCAGTGTGAGATAGCAGGGACTCCACCCTTTGAGGTTGCTTGGTTCAAGGACCGGAGGCAGGTCAGAAGCAGCAAGAAGTTCAAGGTGACAGCAAAGCACTCCATTGCCAGTCTTCATATTCTCAGTCTGGAAGCTCAAGATACTGGAGAATATCAGTGCAAAGCTATGAATGAGGTGGGAAGTGACACCTGCATCTGTCCGGTTAAATTCAAAGGTTTGTATGCTGAAGAATCAACAGCATCACCACCCTCGCTTCTTGATCTCCTGGGTGTCTCTCTTCTAAGCAGGCATGTATCATTAACCCTCTTCTGCCTCATTGTTTTTGCAATCAGAACCTCCACGCTTCGCTAAGAAGCTGAGTGACACTGCAATCTTCATTGGGGAGCCAACAGCCCTGCAGGCAGTGGTGGAAGGATCCCCACCAATTTCTGTTGTCTGGCTCAAGGACAAGGGTGAAGTTATTAGGGAGAGCGAAAATGTCCAAATGTGGTTTATGGACAACATTGCAACTCTTGAGATTGCCAGTGCAGAAGGAGCTGATGTTGGGAAGTACATCTGCCAGATCAAAAATGATGCTGGCATGCGGGAGTGCTCTGCCTTTTTACAAGTCCTAGGTGGGTATAGCCTGCTTCACAACTACTGTATCCTGCAGCTTGCACAATTGCCTTTACCAGCCTTTGTTTTCTGCATATGCCCTGTGCTCGCTGTTTTGCGTGTAGGTATCCTGGTGACACACTGACCCTTACCTTCCTATTTCAGAACCAGCACTCATCTTAGAGAAGACCGAGCCAATCACAGTAATGGCTGGCAATCCTTTTACATTGGAGTGCAAAGTAGGAGGAACACCTGAACTTATCACCAAGTGGTATAAAGATGGCAGAGAACTAAGGAGTGACCGCAAATACCAAATTACCTTTGTCAACAATATATCCACTTTGAAAGTCTTTTCTGCAGACAGGGAAGACAGGGGCTTGTATACTTTTGAGGTGCACAATGAGGTGGGCGACAGCAGCTGCATTTCTTCAGTTGATGTTTCAGGTCAGCTCTATGTCTTTGTAGTTCACACTTATCTTTAAAGAAAGCATTTTTCTTTTTCCCCTTTCCTTTCTCCTGAAAAAAAAAAAAAATATCCAAACACTTTTCTTTCTATTCTTTTGCCTTGTCCTGCTTAGATCGCCTTGTTCCTCCTTCATTCTCAAGAAAACTAAAGCAAACAAATGGGGTGCTGGGATCCTCAGTGCTTCTGGAGTGCAAAGTGTCTGGCACATCCCCCATATCTGTGTCCTGGTATCAGGATGGGAATGAGATTGTTAGTGGAGAAAAATATGAAATCTCATTCTTGGATAACGTTTGTGCTTTGAAACTGAATGCCTTGGATATCACAGATACAGGGCCATATACCTGTGTGGCAAACAATGTGGCTGGATCTGATGAATGCAGTGCCTTCTTGACTGTACAAGGTCAGTGGAAGGATACTACAGCCCTTCAACAAAATTCTTTTTCCCTCTCTCTTTCTTCCTTCAGGTTTCCCATGGTCTCTTTTATTTTTTTTTTCCTTTTCTCCCTCTCTCTTTTTTTTCTTTTTGGATTCAAACCTACTCCAGTTTTCCTCTCCCAGAGACTCTCCTATTAACATCTTTCTCCCTCTTCACTCTTTTGCATGATCTTAGAACCACCTTCTTTTGTGAAGATACCTGATCCCCAGGAAGTTTTGCCCAGATCAAGTGTGACATTCAGCACCTATATCAAGGGCAGTACTCCCTTCAAAGTGACCTGGTTCCGAGGCATCAGGGAGCTGGTGCCAGATAGCAACTGTTCCATCTCTCTGGACGAGTCTGTGGCAGAGCTGCAGCTGTACAACGTGGAGCCAGGCCACAGTGGGGATTACGCCTGCGTTGTCACAAATGATGCCGGTAGTGCCTCATGCACAACCCAACTCTTTGTGAAAGGTGTGTTTGTGTGTGCACATTTACACACAGGTATATCCCTTCATGCTCTGCCTGCAGCCCTGCCACATCTGTCCCTCACACTGTTGATCTATGCCTCCTCACAGAGCCTGCCGTATTTGTGAAGAAATTAAGTGATTTCAGTGTGGAGCAGGGGAAGTCCATTGTGCTGGAAAGCAGCTACACAGGCACCCCTCCTGTCTCTGTCACCTGGAAAAGAAATGGCATACCCATTGCTCAGTCTCCACGCTGCAGTGTTACAACTACTGACAAATCTGGAATTCTTGAAATCTTCAACAGCACCAAGAGTGATGAAGGCGAATACACCTGTGAGGTGGCAAATGAGGCAGGTGGAGATGTTTGCCGCAGCCTTGTATATATCTTAGGTATGGTGCACTCCAGATCCCCTTAAGGGACCCTGATGATGCTCTGCATCTGCTCACCATACTCTCTCTTTCCCTAGAACCACCCTATTTTGTCATACACTTGGACCGTGTGGAGGTGAAGGTTGGACAGCCCTTGATCTTAAAATGCCAGATTGGTGGTGCACCAGAAATCAAGGTGTCCTGGTACAAAGATGACACCAAGCTCAGATCAACACAGGCTTACAAAATGCACTTCAAGAATAATGTTGCAACACTGGCGTTCTCCACCATAGAGGACAGTGACATTGGAGAATATACCTGCAAAGCAGAAAACAGTGTTGGCTCCGCCACCTCCACAGCTCTGCTTGTTGTTAAAGGTGATGGGCCAAGGGCCACTCTTTCCGGGGGTAGTTTATAGGAACTCTTTGTTATCTACAGAAAGGGGTTCTTATTAATTTCAGAATTAATTAATTTTAGATTAGCAGGGTGGCTTCCTACTTACTGTGGTGATTATTATTATTTTGCAGAACGGCAGCTTCCCCCTACGTTCTCCAGAAAACTGAAAGATATTCAGGAGGCCGTTGGTGCCCCAGTGACATTTGATTGCCGCATAAATGGCTCAGAGCCTATCCAGGTGTCTTGGTACAAGGATGGGGTTCTCTTAAGTGACAGTGATAACATGCAATTAGCCTTCTTAAATAATGTTGCAACTCTCCAGATCTTGCAAACAAGTATGGTTCACTGTGGCCAATACACTTGCTCAGCCAAAAATGTTTTGGGGACTGCATCTTCTAGCGCCAAACTTCTCCTCACAGGTTTGTAGCTTACATTTAAAGAAACGTGTATTTGTATGTCTTTGCTCTTTTATTTCTTCACCCTTTCCCCCACCCATTGTATGGTGGCCACAGAGCATGGGCATGGCACGGTGAGGTGTGTGTTGAGGAGGGCTCAGTGATGAGCTCTGCCATGCTTTCCTCTTTGCAGAACATCTACAGCCTCCCTTCTTTGACATCAAGCCAGTATCTGTTGATGTAGCACTAGGAGAAAGTGCAACTTTTAAGTGTCATGTGACTGGCTCTGCTCCCATGAAGATTACTTGGACGAGAGACAACAGACAGATTCGCCCAGGTGGCAACTACAAGATGACATTGGTGGAAAACACGGCCAGCTTGACAGTCCTAAAAGTTGGTAAAGGGGATGCTGGACTCTACATATGCACTGCCAGCAACAGTGTTGGAAAGGATGCCTGCACAGCTGAGCTAGCTGTACAAGGTATTGTGAGCTTTAGTGTTCATGAGACTTTCCTTTGCAAGGGAGACATCTGGAGAAAAAAGCCTTGAATGTAGACATGTGTGAGACTAACAATCTTTACAAGAGGCTACACTGCGATGTCTTATTTCATTTAAATATTATTGTAATACCTAAATACTTATTAATCTTTCTTCTGGTATAGTTTGCGATTTATCTGATCAAAAGGATTCTTTCATTGAAGTGTTAAATATGACTTAGAGCCTTGTTGCGCCTTTATGAATGGCCCTGTTGGCCAGCAAAAGCTGTCTCTCTTTAAGTCTTTCTTCATTCACTGGATTGTCCAGGGGAGGGAAAGGTAACTGAGAGAAACTCAGTTAACTTATGAGACTTCAATGTGTTGTTACTGGATGTGCAGCTGCTGCAAATAATTTTACCCTTTCACAGACTAGAAACATTGAAAATTGCTGTTCTAGACAGCAAAATGGGAGGATCTGAGAGTACACTTGGTGACAAATATCCATTCTTCCAACACTTTGCTTCTCCATATAGTGGAGAATCTTTTAGTCATCTAAATTTATGACTGGATCAAACTGTCTTGGTACAAGTGACACTTGCATGTTTATTTCCTTAATGTAGGTGGGAACACAGGATTTGTTTATAGCTGTTCCAGCTACCTCATACTTAGTGATTTTATAAAAGAAAGAATGTAAAATGCAGCTCTTAAATATTGCATGAGTTCAAATGTCCCCGTTCTTTTAGTGCCGCCCCCCTCCCCCCCTTTTTTTTTTCCTCTCTGTATGAACTTTGGGGGGAAAAAAAAATCAAACATTTCAAGACTAAATACTATGACTTTTATTCTGTAAGACAAATAGCATAAGAAGCTGAACTACCACTAGCAAAATCGCTGATAACTGCATGTCAAATGTATTACATATTTATATCTAGAGTATGTTCTATCCATAGATAGATTTTTCTTGGTGGGGGCGAAAGAATGGGGCAGAGGGAAATACTTCTGGATTCAGTGACAAGTAGGGACGTTGTTACTATGTAGTTTGACTTACAAAAAGCATTGAAGGCCTGTAGCAAGAAACCTAACCTCTTTAAAAGATTTAAAGCTTGTTTCTACCACAGTCACAATTCTGTTTATATTAATGATATTACTGAGAAGTTTATTTGACTAAAGTTACCATTGATAAGAAGATCCTGACCTTAGACGCTTTCTTACTCTTCAACTCCTTATTCATAAAATCCTGATTTTTTTTTTCCGTCCACAATTATTATTTTCTTTTTTGATCCTGAACTTACACTGACACTCACTTTAATCCTTTAGAATTTGTACAGTTTCCCCAGTGTTGTAAAATAAATGATATTCATTGTTTGGCAGCCATTTTCTATAGAACTTGGAAGAGAAACCTCTTTTGTGTATTGATTTTTGTGTGTTTAATTTGAGCAGATGATGTCTCATCTCTATAACACACATCCTTTTGTTTGTAGAATTAAGTGCTTTTATTTGATTAACCTTGGTAATTTCCCAGAGTTTTATTACTTTTCATACTTTAACACCTAAAGTTCTCACTCTGTAGTTTTAACAATTGCTTTAGGTTATAGAAACTGCTTTACATTATAAGTATATACCTTACTAACTTATATACTTACATTTTGGTGATATATCCCCATTTTTGGTAATGAATAGAATTAGTACTCATCAGATGTTAGTATGCAGATAGAGGATCACTTCTTTGCGAAACTGAAATCTGATAATATAATACAAAGGTTCCAAGAGTCCTTATCTAAACAAACCATCATTTCTATTTTTAGAAACTCTAAGGAAGCTTTGTTACTAACAACATAGGATGTTCTGCAAATGTCACACAGGTTGAAGTAACCCACAATAAAATAGATATTCTTCCTACACTTTACAGACAGATGAACGAAGAGGCACTTCATCCTGTTTTGCAGGGAGATTTGTTTGTTGTGCCCACGTTACCACCTCATGGGTTTACTAGTTATATCTTTGATCTATGAGCATTCAGTCTTGTGATTCAGAATCATGCGCACAGTACTTTTGATGAAAAGTGTCAAACCTCCACTTCTTTATCTCCTTACAAAAAAAAAAGGTTTACTTTTCAGTCATAGGACCTTTAACACTAATTTCTTCAATACCAACCATCTCACAATTCTTCCCAGCATGATTATTTTAAACCTATATTGTTTTCTACCTAATCTCCTTGACTTCTGTTCCTTATATGCACCTTTATGTTTGGCTTTGCCATAAATTTGTGAAGTGTTATAATGCAGGTACATTTATTGACTGTATCAGTTGTTAATGACATTTTAAGATATAAAGTAGTTGCTATAATGCTTCGCATAAATGCTCTTAATAATATTTCTTGGCTGAACTGTTAGGATTCTTACATTTCCATCAGGTATTTTGAGTACTCATGTATTGCTAGAGGGAATTACTTAAAGGAAACCACCCATCAGTTTATCTGTACTGAATACATGGGAGAAGTAGAGTGGGACAAAAAAGTAAGGAGAAACTAGCTGAAATGCATATAGAGAACTAGTTTGCTTCCTAAATAAAAGAAACTTAAAATAATCTTTAAAAAAATCATAGCAATTACAAACTTAAAATGTTTGCATAAGTCCAGAAAGTTTACATTTTCTCTTACATATTTCCTTGTTTATTCGAAGAATCAGTGCAGTTTAAAGCAACATTTCCACTTTTTGGCTTTCCAGAACCACCAAGGTTTATTAAGAAACTTGACTCCTCAAGACTTGTGAAACAGCATGATTCCACTAAGTATGAATGCAAAATAGGTGGATCTCCAGAAATCAAAGTCACCTGGTACAAAGGTGAAACTGAGATTCATCCCAGTGAAAAATACCGAATGTCCTTTGTGAATTCAGTGGCAGTCATTGAAATGTACAACCTCAGTGTTGAAGACAGTGGTGACTACACTTGTGAAGCTCACAATCCGGGGGGTAGTGCAAGCACCAGTACCTCACTGAAAGTAAAAGGTCAGAAACACAGTTCTTTCCTTACATTTCTATCTCTCTGAGTCTTCCTTTTTGGAAAACCTCTTAAATCCCACTTTCTTTAGTCAGAGAGGCCAAAACCTGTCTGAATAGAGGGCAAATCTCTTGACTGCTTGTTATACTGTGGGATATCTATCTTAATAATGGTTTCTCTTTGCTGTTTAGCATCAGTGGCTACTTGAATACTTTGTCCTTTTTAATCTCCTTCCCTCAAATAACACAAAATTTACTCCTCCCCCCTCTTTTTTTCCAGCACCCCCCATTTTTACCAAGAAGCCCCCTCCAACTGAGACCTTGAAAGGGTCTGATATTCACCTAGAATGTGAGCTTCAGGGCACTCCTCCGTTCCAGATCTCTTGGTACAAAGACAAACGAGAAATTCGGAGCAGCAAGAAGTATAAGGTCATGTCTGAGAACTACCTAGCCAGTATTCACATTCTCAGTGTGGATACTGCAGATGTTGGTGAATATCACTGTAAAGCTGTAAATGATGTGGGAAGTGACTCCTGCATTGGCTCTGTAACACTAAGAGGTTTGTATAAAGATTGGCATCTTGGCATTGCATTGTTCCTGTCATTCTCCTCCTACTTTGCCACTACTGGCATGTTTTTTTTACTGTTAAATATCTTCTCTTAAATAGCACCACCAACCTTTGTGAAGAAACTGAGTGATCTCACTGTTGTAGTTGGGGAGTCGATTGAACTGCAGGCTGCAGTAGAAGGATCACAGCCCATTTCTGTTCTGTGGTTAAAAGACAAAGGGGAAATCATCAGAGAAAGTGATAATCTTTGGATTTCCTATTCAGAAAACATTGCAACTATGCGGATTGGAAATGCAGAACCAGCCAATGCTGGGAAATACATTTGTCAGATAAAAAATGATGCTGGAGTTCAGGAATGCTTTGCCACACTGAGAGTTCTAGGTTGGTAGCATGAGATTAAAAAACTCAATGTGGTCTACTATGCTTTAAAATTTCAATTTTTACAATACTAATAATTATTGCATTGTTGATTTTAAAATATCTGTGACTTGCATCTCATTACAGAACCTGCAGTCATTGTTGAGAAGCCAGGCCCAGTCAAAGTTACAGCGGGAGACTCATGTACTCTGGAATGCACAGTAGATGGCACACCAGAGCTTACTGCTAGGTGGCTTAAGGATGGGAATGAACTGTCCACTGACCATAAATATAAAATCAGTTTCTTCAAAAAAGTGTCTGGGCTTAAGATTCTCAATGCAAGACTAGAAGACAGTGGAGAATATACCTTTGAGGTGGAAAACAGTGTTGGTAAAAGCAGCTGCACAGCTTCAGTGCATGTCTCAGGTTAGTTGACTGTTCGAGTTACATCCGATCCTACAGTTCTTTTATAACACCTTCAGATAGATAGCAAACTGATTCTCAAGACTGGCAGCCTGAGAGACTCATCGCTTGTATAATCTTAGGAGTACTTGGCAAGACACTTTGACAGACATCAAGAATGGATGCCTATCTAACCTCTGAGGGGCAAGGGCTTGAGTTGTTACGAGGGCTTCGTTTCTTTGGCTTTAGTCTACATGCCTTCTTGGACAGCTGGTGCAATATTTCTTATGAAAAAGAAATGCCAAAATAAAAGGTGTCCCTCAAAAGTGTGAATGAAAGTTCCAACATATCCTTAACCATCAACTATTTTTCTATGACTTAGGTGCATAGGAACAGATTGCTTAAGCAGATACATCAAAAGAAATTTCAGTGATTTTATTATGCATGGGAAACTTCCTGCATTTTAAGTTCCTGTATGGTATTTATTTTGTTTTTTTCTTTTTTTTTATTAAAAAAAAATGCAGATCGTATTATACCTCCTTCTTTCACAAGAAAACTGAAAGAAACATATGGTCAGCTGGGCTCTTCTGCTGTACTGGAGTGTAAAGTTTATGGGTCACCACCTATTCTTGTTTCCTGGTTTCATGACGGAGAGGAGATTATCAGCGGAGACAAGTATCAGGCTACTCTTACAGACAATACCTGTTCTCTGAAAGTGAATGGACTTCAGGAATCTGATATGGGAACTTATTTGTGCACAGCTAGTAATGTAGCTGGGTCCGATGAGTGCAGCGCATTTTTGAATGTTAGAGGTCAGTATCAATAAGAAGCCAGAGTCAGAAGGCACAAATATATTTTCAAGAAGACTTAATGCTTTGCTCTGTACATATTTCTTGTTATCTTGCTCTTCATCAGAAGCTAAAATGTACTTCTTTTGTTTCATTTGCATGCTTAGAACCACCATCTTTTGTGAAGAAACCTGAACCACTGAATGTTTTATCTGGGGCAAACATAACCTTTACCAGTATCATAAAAGGCTCCTCTCCATTGGAAGTCAAATGGTTTAGAGGTAGTGTTGAGCTAGCACCAGGACACAGATGCAGTATCACCTTGCAAGATTCAGTTGCAGAACTGGAGCTATTTGATGTACATCCGCTTCAGAGTGGAGACTACACTTGCCAGGTCTCTAACAAGGCAGGGATGATTTCTTGCACAACACATCTTTTTGTCAAAGGTTTGTCCAGACTACTATATCTTATGCTTCTAAAAATGATCTCTTGGCTTTATCTCATTTGTTTTCTTCCCATTGTTCTTTATAGAACCAGCCAAATTTGTGAAGAGGGTGAATGATTTAACTGTAGAGAAAGGAAAAAATTTCATCTTGGAATGCACATACATGGGTACTCCACCGATTTCAGTGACATGGAAGAAAAATGGAGTAAAAATAATGCACTCTGAAAGGTGTAGCATCACCACTACAGAAACATCTGCCATACTGGAAATACCTAATAGCAAACTAGAAGATCAGGGGCAATATTCTTGTCATATTGAAAATGATTCTGGACAAGATAATTGTCATGGTGCAATCACAATACTAGGTGCGTCAAGCTACCATCATTTCATCAAGTATTATTTGAACTACCAGTGCTCATTGTGCAATACCTTTTTGTGCTAATGGTGTATATTTGTTCTTCAGAACCACCTTACTTCGTTACACCCTTGGAGCCAGTGCAGGTGACTGTTGGGGATTCTGCATCCTTACAGTGCCAGGTTGCTGGAACACCAGAAATGATTGTATCATGGTACAAAGGCGATACAAAGTTGAGAGGAACTGCTTCTATGAAAATGCACTTTAAAAACCAAGTTGCCACTTTGGTTTTCAGCCAGGTAGACAGTAGTGATAGTGGGGACTACATCTGCAAAGTAGAAAATGCTGTTGGTGAGGCTGCTTCATCATCTTTGCTGACAGTTCAAGGTGAATATTTAGTTTAAAAACATGCAAAAATGGCATGTTTTTCTTAAGTATGTTTGCTATTTCAAAAGAACAAACAAACAACCCAAAGATTACCTTTTCTGTGTTAAACGCTTTAGTTTCTTGACTTGGCTTGTCTCTGCATTACTGTCTTCTCTTAACGAAAGTCTACCAGTGAAGCTAATCAAAATGTGTCTCTCATTGATCACAGCCCTACTGTAGGGATACAAGCTTCTTCATCTTCCTTTCCCATTGAGGATATTTCTTTGATTGTTTCTACCATTGGCAGTCCTGAGGTTTTAGTAGGGTCACTGGGTGTAACTGATGGCAGAATGGTTATACATTTTACTGCAAACTATGCACAGTGCTCTTTTCACATCAGGTTCCAAATAAATAATATGCTGAATAAAATTTTAATCGGAAGTTATAAGTAAAAGTTGAGTGTACTCTACAGTATATTAGGCAGTGATTACTGTTGAATACAACAATAGGTGCGTATCTTCTGAAAACCTTCACTGTACAATACCTGTTTTCTTACAGAGCGTAAGCTTCCTCCTTCTTTTACGCGAAAATTAAGAGATGTCCATGAAACTGTTGGCTTACCAGTTACATTTGATTGTGGCATTGCTGGTTCAGAACCTATAGAAGTATCTTGGTTTAAAGATGGTGTGCGTGTAAAAGAGGACTACAATGTTCATACATCCTTCGTAGATAATGTAGCAACTCTTCAGATTTTGAAAACAGATAGGAGCCTTATGGGACAATATACCTGCACAGCTACCAATGCAATTGGGACAGCTTCTTCTAGTGGCAGGCTTGTCCTTACAGGTCAGTGGGCTATGAAATATTTAATGAAAATATCTCAAAACTAACTTTAGAAACAGATTTAATACTGTACAAATTATATTTATTTCACACAGGTTTAAAGCAAATCAGGATTTTAAACTGATGCCTTTTTATTTATTTCACTCTTCAGAAGGGAAGACTCTTCCATTTTTTGACATCCCAATTACACCTGTGGATGGTATTATTGGAGAAAGTGCTGACTTTGAGTGTCACATCTCTGGAACACAGCCTATTAAAGTCACTTGGGCAAAAGATAACCAAGAGATTAGAACAGGAAGAAACTACCAAATCAGTTATGTAGACAGCACAGCCCACTTGACCATCTTGAGAGTTGAGAGGGGAGACTCTGGACAGTATACATGCTGTGCTAGCAATGAAGTTGGAAAGGACTCTTGCACAGCTCAGCTGACTGTTAAAGGTATTGAATAGATAATACATTGTGTGTACATTTTTGTGCGTACATTTTTCTGTCTTTAATTATTAAGGAAGTTAGCTTTATTGCTGCAAGATAACTTTGAGAAGAACTTTTGAGATATAGCTTGAAAGTACCTGAACGTACCTATATGTCTCTGAAGAGGGTTAGGATTGGTCACCAGCAATGATGGGAAGAGACTAGTCTTTGGACTAGTTTCTTTATAGGCTTTGGCCTATTTCTTTCTTGGGAACTTGACAAAAATCTTGGGGCTTTTATGGCATTTGATGTAAAAATATAAGAGGATTCTTTTTTTTCAAATAGGAAAATCAAATATGACAGTGACTGTAAAAGCAAGATGTGCTGTTTATCTTAGCATGCTTTCACTTAAAAAAAAACCAAATACCCTGTTTAAATGAGAGCAAGTATTAATTCCCCAATGTTGAAATTTTTTTTCTTGAAACATTTTCTTTAGAATTTTCCATGTCCATTTCATTCATAGAATTTTGTTAATTTTGTTCCTTTTTTTTTTTTTTTTTTACAGAACGAAAATCTCCACCAACTTTCACTAAGAAACTGTCTGAAGTAGTAGAAGAAACAGAAGGGAATGAACTTAAACTTGAGGGCCATGTTGCTGGCTCCCAGCCTTTGACTGTTGCTTGGTATAAAAACAATCAGGAAGTTCATTCAAGCCCTCATTGTGAAATATCTTTCAAAAATAACACCTTAATTTTGCACATAAAGTGTGTAGAGCAATCAGATGCTGGTTTATATACCTGTAAAGTGTCCAATGAAGCAGGAAGCGTGTTATGTACATCTTCTGTTGTTATCAGAGGTTAGTCGAAGTATTTTTTACTTTGCTTCTTACTTTTTTTTGTCGCATGTTAGCTGAAAACATACAGCTTCTATCTTATGAGCTGGGTTTACTTACTTTAATTTGTCCAGCAGTACTTTGTCCTGAGATGGACAGACTAAACTGAGTTAAACCACAAAATCAAAAAATTCTTCTAATTTTTTTATTAAAATACAACAATATTTTTCAAGGAGGAGTTTCCTTTTCACTATTTGCTATGACTGATCTAAATTGAACATTGAAATCTTTGTGACATTCCTGTTGAATTTGTAATCATCCTCTTTTTGTGGAAAAACAGTTTTTCTGTGCATTTACACCTAAGCTTGTGCAGCCTTGACTGTGTGTTTTAGCAGCATGGCACTTCATTGTAATACTATTGTAGGAGATTGCATATTTTTTTCTTTAAAGGTGCTTACATAGTTTTGCAGCCTAATAGCAGTGTTTTAATTCTTATAGTGTTTTTCACATGTGAATGTCCTTGCTGTGTGGAGTAAAGATATTTCGCATGTTTGCATAGAAAATATACTGTCTTGGTACTTATTCCATTTTCTAACACTATGATTTATGTTTTCAGACTTCTGTTTATCCTTCTTCATTCTTTGCCATTGTCTTCTTAAGAATCACATGTATCTCCTTTTCTCTTACATTCTTAATCTTACTTTCCTCCCTTGAGTATTCACTCAAACGTTTTCCTATTCCAGAACCCAAAAAGCCTCCAGTTTTTGACCAGCCTCTTCAACCAGCAGCAGCAGAGGAAGGTGATACTATACAGCTCAGCTGCCATGTTGAAGGATCACAGCCAATCCGGATTCAGTGGCTGAAGGCAGGCAGAGAAATAAGAGCTTCAGGCAGATGCAACTTCAGCTTTGCTAATGGAGTAGCTCTTCTAGAACTTGCTGCAATTACCAAATCCGATTCAGGAGAATATGTATGCAAAGCTTCAAATGCAGCTGGCACTGACACTTGCAAATCTAAAGTGACCGTTAAAGGTACAATAACATGGAGACAATTAAAGTGTATGATAAAAATTTAAACCAAATTCCATCCCACTTTATTTTCTGTGGAACAAAAATGTTAATAATCTAATAGAAACAATTAGTATATTTTAGTTATTTGCAAACCCACACAATCTGGGAAGACAGTATATTTGAAAATTAACTCTACATAAATAGGACATAAACAGTGGGAGATCAGTGTCAAATCAACACTATATTCTTACCAAAAAGACTAAGAATTTAGTTTCTAAATCTAAACACTAAATTTTTGAAAAATGGAAGCTAAATGAGCGAAATTACTTGGACATGCAAATTTTAAGCAGAGGATGGGAACAGTGGTGTTTATTAAAAGAAAATACAGAAGGGATTTGATTGAGCATATGGCCATCGGAGCTAATTTCTTCAGGACTGTTACATTTAGAACTTTCAGCTGAAAGCAAATATAGTCTAAGCATGTGTCCTTCCTTGTGTATCTTGCCTTACCATTGCATGAAAGACTTAAATGTTCAGTAATATGCAGAAATAGTATATTATTTACTATATGGGTAACCACAAGGCTAAGAACTGAGCAAATGAAAAAAAAAAACCAAAACACTCACTGGTGAAAAAATACAAGTAACTTCAAGGATGAAATTTTCAGAAATAGACAGAAAAGAAAAACCTCACCGAAACCTCAGCTATTTTAGAAAGTGGCGGTTCTTATTTGCATATCTGCTTATGAATTTTCATCCATGAAGAATATGAATGACCTGACTGAAGTTAATGAACAGCACAATCTGGCCCACAGTATTCAGTTTCATCTGGAAAGTAAAATGCAAGTTAACTAAAACAACAGAAAAACATTTTGCATTTTTATCTCTTGCATAGTATTTTGTTCCACCTTTATAATTAATTCTTTTTTTACCATTCCTTTGGAAGCATCATCATGCATGAACATAAATCATTACACGGAACCATCTGTTTTATTGTTTTACTTTATTTTTCTAGAAAAACCAGCAGCTGCACCAGTAGCTAAGAAAGCAGAACTGGAAGGAAAACTTTATTTTGTGTCAGAGCCTCAGAGTATCAAAGTCATGGAAAGTAAGAATTCTTTTCAGAAAGTACCTTGTCTTCTATTTGCCTGTACCTTTTTTCTTGAGATTATGTCCTGCTCTTATAGAAAGCTGGAAAGACTTAGCTTCCTTATTTGCATCTTTTTGCAGAAACTGTTGCAAAATTTATTGCAAAAGTTGGAGGAGACCCAATTCCAAATGTTAAATGGATGAAGGGAAAATGGAGGCAACTCAACCAGGGAGGTCGCATTACAATCCAGCAGAGAGGAGATGAAGCCAAACTAGAAATAAAGGACACAATAAAAACTGATTCTGGCATGTACAAATGCGTAGCTTTTAACCAACATGGTGAAATTGAGAGGAGCGTAAACCTACAAGTTGAAGAAAGAAAGAAAGAAGTTGTTGAAGGGGATCTCAGGGCAAAACTAAAAAGGTATATGGGAAGATTTTATAGATTAATTTACCATCAACACAGAAGAAACATTTCTTATTAAATATCTCAGTTCAACATATATTTTTTAAGATTCATTAAACATGAATGACTTATAAAAGTAGAAGCACCTGACTAGACAAAGCTAAAGGATTCCACTCCACAGTGCAGCTGTAAGCTGATTCATTTTTTCATTGAACAACCTTATACGAATGAAGTATTGCATATTTATCTTATGTCATTGCTTTGAATAGCACTCCAAAAAGGAAGGAAGGAGAGGAAGAGCAACCTATTGATATCTTGGAACTTCTCAAAAATGTAGATCCCAAAGAATATGAGAAATATGCTCGCATGTATGGAATTACAGATTTCCGTGGCCTCTTGCAAGCCTTTGAGTTACTAAAGCAAACTCAAGCAGAAGAAAGCCATAGACTGGTAAGATACAGTGTGACTTTAGCATTGGCTTTGTTAAGAGAAACATGGTTCATTCGAGCAAACTTCTTGTCTATGATCTGATGTTACTGTGTGTGCAGGAATTTCTGGCTCCTCTTTGGATCTTTTACAGATAGTTCTCAATTTCTTGCACACTCAAACCCAAGAAGAAGTAATGGGTCTTCTGGCTAAGTCTTCCTAACTTGGCTTCAATTTTTAAGATGGGGAGAAAACACTAGTTGCAGTACACTTACAGAAAATTTGACGTAGGAACTAATCTTATGTTGGACAACCATGACAGCTTGACATTTAGTATTCTTTAATCTTTTAGTATATTCTGCCTTTTTACAGGAAATTGAGCTCACAGAAAGAGCTCAAAGAGAAGATCAGGAGTTTGATGAACTTGTAGCTTTTATTCAACAACGACTCTCACAAACAGAGGTAACATATTTTTGGATTAATTTATGAAATATTCAAACTCATAACAGGGAACTTGAAACTAATTTAAACTAATATTTTTCAGCCTATTACTCTGATCAGAGACATTGAAAATCAGACGGTTTTAACAGATGAGGATGCTATCTTTGAATGTGAGATTAAAATTAATTATCCAGAAATTAAACTTTCATGGTACAAGGGAACTCAGAAGCTGGACTCCAATGACAAATATGAAATTAGAATTGAAGGTGATCACCACATACTGAGAATCAGGAACTGCCAACTTGAAGATCAGGGAAATTTCAGAATAGTGTGCGGACCACACATTGCTAGTGCCAGGCTAACTGTGATCGGTAAGTATGCTTTTGAAGTATCTATTTGAATTAATATACACATTAATTCTTCCACTGTCTGATGCCTGCTAAAATGTATGTTTTAACATGCTAATAGAACCTGCAGTTGAGCGGCATCTCCATGACACTACTTTCAAGGAAGGAAACACTTGCACGCTGTCCTGTCAGTTCTCTATCCCAAATGCCAAGTCTCAGTGGTATAGAAATGGGAGACCCATTAAGATAGGAGGGAGATATTCAACACAAGTGTCTGACAAAGTACACAAACTCATCATCAAGGATGTTAGAACAGAAGACCAGGGACAATATACCTGCAAGCTTGACAACCTAGAAACAACTGCAGATCTGGCCATTGAAGGTTTGTAAACAGATATAAATTCTCTTTGTTACGGTAGTGATAAGCAGCTTCTGGGGGTTCAATAATAGAACAAATGAAAATAAAAGGAATTTCTTAAAAATGTATTCCCAAACTTGGAAATGGACTAAATAAGAAAGTTTGCTGTCCTTTCTCTTTGGACATGTGTCATATTTCTGTTAGTATTTTTGACTAAATCATCATAACTAATATCCCCTGACCCTCAAAAAATCTGAGTCATGCTTGCTTTTATTCTCTTGTTCTCTAATAATCTTGTATTTTCCTTGGACCTCCTCTTTTTCTTAATTATGCATTATCTTTCCTCTCCTTAATGACTTCTCTTGTATAATTTATCTGCACAGCAGTCTTCTTATAGTTGTACTCTTACGTCTTCTAATCTTTATTCTTACATAGAAAACTTCAAGAAGATGGAATTCCATTTTCTTACCCTACTTTTTCAAGATCTATCTCTTATTGTAATGTAGGTGTTGTTATGGAAACAATGAGAAGGAATTAGATAAGCTAAATGGCCTGATGATGCATAACAATTTTATTTTTTGTTTCTAAAAACAGCAGAACCAATTCAGTTCACTAAGAGCATACAGAATATTGTAGTGAGTGAACACCAGTCTGCAACCTTTGAGTGCGAAGTGTCTTTTGATGATGCAGTTGTGACATGGTATAAAGGCCCCACTGAACTGAGAGAGAGTCCCAAGTACAGCTTCAGAAGTGAAGGTCGCTGTCATTATATGACCATTCACAATGTTAATGCAGAAGATGAAGGTAAAAATGCATGGAATATTTGTGCTGATGCTTTACTTTTATCTGATTTTGTTGTCTGCTTTTTTAATGATAAAGGCATATAAATATAAACATTCTTGGCTGTTGCAGGTGTATACTCTGTAATTGCTCGTCTTGAACCACGAGGAGAAGCAAGAAGCACTGCAGAGCTCTATCTGGTAACCAAAGGTCAGTGAATTTGCTGAACAAATTTATGATCATAACCATCTGCAAATTTGTGAGTTTGAGCATGATTCTGGATATACAAATAGTACTAAAAGAAATTTAATATTTTTTTGCAGAAATCAAACTGGAGTTGAAGCCACCAGGTAAAGATGATGAGCAAGACTGGCACAAGATCAAGACTTCACTCTGTCACAGATTTAGTGCTTTGCTCTGCTCTATTTTTTATTTTTGACTCATTTTTTCCTTGTTATAGTAAGTCAAACCTAGGCTCTGAAAAGACATACCTCATCACCATATAAGAAGCTATTTATTCTAATAAACAGTGGCAGTGAATACCTTGGTAACTCCAAAATCATTGATATTACTGTTTTTTAAAATCTGTGTAGAATTTTGTACGTTCTTCGAAACACAAAAGTTCATTTTTGTTTCAACGACTGAGGAATAGAACAATTAAGAGGTACAAATGACTAGATTTGATATCCTCTGCACAATTGAAATAAATAACCAAGGATGCAGAATGGGTAGCAATCATCTCTTTATGATATACAATGATCTTTTCTGACTGTTTTTAAGACCCAATACACCAAATTATGCAAGAATTATTTAGAAATAAAATGAAACAGTGTAGAGTCTAGCCAGATTGAAAGATTAATGCAATTAGTTATCTATTGATCGGCTAGCTTAATCTTGAGGAGTAGGCTGCAATCTTTTAATGCTAGGAAAACTACGATTAAAGCACCATGAACTACTATTCTTGGGGACAGCATATTAAAATCTATTTTTTATATTAATTCAATTAAACATTTTGATTTCCTAGATGTTCCTGATGCCAAGGTTGCAGTTCCACCTCAAAAAGCAGTTGAAGGTAGGTTAACATACATGTGCCACAATGCTGTTTTATATATGCACTAAAGCAGCAAGCCAGTGGGAACCTCAGAGAAAAATCTTAGACAATGGTAAGATCTAGTTAATTTTTTCATACAAACATAATAAGAGTAAGGCTTGGCTTGGTTAGGCTCGTTTTGCTGTGTAGAAAACTATACACAAATAATGGTCAGAATGAAGCCTTCTCTCTGAAAAAGATTGTGTCTTTTCCTTCTTGTTTTCCTATCAGTTTGTTCACTCCATCTTCCTCTTATTTCCACTTTCCTTTTCTGATCTTTATTTTCACCTTTTCTTCTTTTTCTGCCAAAGAGATAAGTTTTACACAAGCTGCCTGAAATGCTACTCTTTGGAGAAAAAAAAAAGAAGAAAATATTTTAAAGTATTACAATAGGTTGTATTTTTATTGCGACTGATCTCTCCCCAGGCTCTGGTATTTGCCTATAGACTTCAAACATGATGTGTATTTCTGTTACATTCAAGTTTACTATGAACCTTAGAAGTTCAATCTCCTGTGTTTCATTTCCAGGATAACTTGGTATATGCTTTCAGTAGCAGCAGGAGGGAAAAGATTTATATTTAGATTAATTATTATCAAGAAAAATATGAGACTAATGGCACTAAAGAAAATAAAGCTGAGAAGGGTCAGAATTCAAGTAAAGGTAGACTGGGGATTTCCATTCAAAATATATTCTTCCACTTACAGTAAACATTCAGAATGAGCAACATGCTGTGAGAAAATCATTGCATAGATTTTCCAAATGCACTAGGATTTTTCTTCATTTACAGGAAAGCATCGTACTCATATTTTATTCTATATGTTCTGTTTTTCCTATAAGCTGCCCCTATTCCTATTCTTCTACCTCTTGTTCCACAACCAGAGGAGAAAAAGCCAGGTAAGAATACATAAATTGTTTGGGCAGCGTTTGTATGTTTAATTATGACTGTCGGTTGGATTCTTTTAATTTTAATTCTAAAAAAACACCCTTTTTTTTTTAAGCAGAAAAAAAGGTTCCGTTAAAGAAAGTCTCCAAAAAGGTGGTTAAAAAAGTTCCTGAAGAAGTCCCACCACCAAAAGGTAACTTCCTTTTTTTTATCATTTAAAAATCATAACATTACCTTGGGAAAACAAGATAATTTGTTTTAAATTATCTTGAATCAATCCAATCAGTTTGATTTTTGTCCTTATGTTAAAAACATGCATATTTGAAATCCAAGCTGATTAGGACTGCTTAAAAAAGAGTCACTTCTTTAAACTGTGAAAGTGAAATCATTTCATTAACTGCTAATACCCAATATGCCTTGCAAATTCCAGGTTATGAGATGAATAATCTATTTTCTCATTTTTTGAAGTTCCTGAGGTGCTGCCAGAGAAGCCCAAAGAGATAAAAATAACATCCATGGCAAGGAGAGAAGAGATTCATGAAGAAAAGAAGGAAATATATGAAGAACCCAAAGAACCTTATGAAGAATGGGAAGAAGATTATGGAGAAGACCACGAATATTATGTCAAGGAAGAAGGCTATGACGAAGGCGAAGAGGAATGGGAAGAAGCTTATGAAAAAAGAGAAGTGATTTATGAAGAAAAACGAGTAATTCATGAAGAAGGTATTTTAATTATACTATTTTTTCTTCTCTTTTCTCATACTTGTTATTAAGGCCCAAAAATTTTGAGCCAGACAGCTTTTTTTTTTTTTTGACTACTTTTTTTTTTTTTAACAATATTTGGACCTTAATAATTCTTCAAGTTTTAACTGGCACTTCATAATCAGACAAGGACTTTAGTATGGCATGTCATAAATGCAGATAGCTTGTTAGCAATGGACTTTTTAAAACCTAATATAAGTTAGTAGTTTGTAAGGATATGTGACATTTTTACTTGGTTTGGATATTTCTTTTCATTTTCATGTATTCTAGATAAAATTTATTTAGATGAAATGTTTCACACATTAATTTCTTGATGTCAGTAGCTGTATTTTACAATTCCTTGCATACTTTAACTATCTTGAGTGGTAGTAACATGTATGCCTCTATGAACATGTGTGCCAAGAATTTGGCTCTAATGAGAAACCATCAAACTTGGGAATGAGCAGAAAATTCTACTGCAACAATTGGAACTCCAAAACTCTCTTAAACTTACATAAACTTACAATGGCACAACTAATAATTTTTGTGTGTATCAAGCCTTGAGACAATGCATTTTTCAGCATCAATGTTATTTTTCTTAAAGTTGTTGAAGTTCCTAAGAAGCCTGTGGCTGAGAGAAAACCACCACCAATTACAGCTGAAAAGAAGGAAAAGAAAGAAGTAACAGTTCATAAAGGTATGACTTTCCTGCAAAACTAACAGGAACATGCATATTAAGATCTCTCATGCATCTTTTTTCAAGCTGACCTGTGTTGATTATTCCCATTTCCTTGAAAAGGAGAAAAGTCTCTTTATGTTGGAAGGTGACATGAGCAATGCTTATGGCAACATTTCCTCTTCTTCTGCCTTCATGTTTTTGAGCAGAAAGAGAATAGTGGCACTGGTGGTTGAAACAAACCAAGAACTGCTGGCAAAATCAAGCTGAACTTTCATTATCTTTCCTACCCACATTATATTTGCCTTGGGCTTGGGTGATGCTTTTGAGCCAGTGAATGCTGCACTTCTGAGAAGTGTATATTCAGATCACTGTATATCTCTCAGGGGAGGGTGGGCCTGATCACTTGTTTCACAAGTGCCTTTACCAACAAAGTTCACTACCAGTGAATGATGTGCTGAACAACGAACGGGATGCACAAAGTTTCTAACATCCTAAAAGAGAAAATAGCATTATACCCGGTTTGTGTCCAGAAAATGATTTGCAATATTATTTAAATAATAAATCTATTTGAATCACAGTTGTCAAGAAACCTGTTGATGAAAAAGTGGAGATAACTACTCAGAGGGCTGCAGAAGAAAAAGTCAAACGGGCTGAGGGTAACTACTGTTTAACTACCTTATTGTCATTTTACATGAAAGTAGTGGCTATTGTTACTTAGCTGATCTTCATATGCCTTGTCTTCATATGGTCATGGGTCTTATAAATTTTTCAGTCCTTGAAATGTAATAAAAGCTTTTGCTGAATTGCATAAAAGCAAAATGAAAAGCTTTTTAGGGAAAAATGTTAAATGCAGATGCTAACCACAGATGGTTTAAGAAAGGAAGTGGGTGCAAAATTGCACTGGGTATAATGGCATGTTTGACTTTAAGTTGAAGAGTTAAAATCCCCATCTTTCTCAGATTTCTACCTTGACTTGTCTACCAGGATATCTTGAAATAAAGATGCCTTTATTCCCTTTATTTCAGTTATGAAATAAAGATGCATCCTTATTCCCCTGGTGACCACCTCCTCTTGTTTAGCTGTTCCTGTTCTGCAGCAGGAGTCTGTTGGCTACAATTCAGTATATGTCAGGTTATAACCTGTGTACTAAATGCCCTGAGTTACCCAGCCTCTTTAGAAGGTAGCAATAAAAAATTGCTACTTTCTGTCTAATGCTTTGCATGGCTTCAAGGAGCCTAACTTAGCTACTGAGTTAGATTGTCATTTGTTGTACTGTCAACATCATTGCTAGAATTATATCTTTGCTAAATATATGACTAACAAAATTTTAATGCCAACAGTTACCAAGAAAGTTCTACCACCAAAGCCTACACCAATGATCGTTGAAGAAAAAGTTATGAAAAAGGAAGGTACAGATCAGCATCTTTCAATTGCAGCACCCTGAGTGTTCTTGTGCTTCTTGTGAATATGTGGGCCTGTGTGTATGTATCTGGATCTATTGTACAAGTCATGTTGTGACTACTCTCAGTGTTTAAATAGTATGTGTACCATGCTTTTGTCTTTCATAAAGTCTGTTTTTAATATGTTTGTGGCCAGCCTTTTGATTCTTGTTTAAACAACACAGAGGACATTGCAGTGTGATTCAGCTTTTTCTTCATCTCTTCTGTCTGCTGGCCTATGCTTACATAATAAGCATAACTTTTGCCTAGTGCCCCCAAGTTTCCTTGAAGAACTGCCGTTGCAAGTCTTCTTACACACCATTTCCAAAAACCTGTGCATGCATTTATTTTATATCTTTAGGTTAATGATGTCTGTATCTTAGTCTTTAACAGATACTAAATATAATACTTGTATGCTTGTTTTGTTTCAGTATTTTAGAATATAAATACTGTCTAAATATGTCTAAGACTTAAATGTGCAATACAGATACAGATTTGATAAGACCTCACATGCTGATTACCACTAATGTGGATCTAGAATACAAAATACTAAAACAAAATCCTATTTTTAAAGTACCTACAGTAGAAACATGGACTGTTTCAGAAGAAAAGATGTCAGTTTCTGTCCACAAACAAGAAGAGTATTCATATGTCACAGGTATGTACAAACTCAAAAATCTGTGCACGCAAATCAGATCAATCTTCCAATCCTGACAGATTTCTTTTAATCTTTTGTTACATATGGCAAATTACATATTTAGACACTTCTGTATTTGTTTCCAATATGTATTGCTTCTCTTTGTTCATTGTGTTACGTAGCCTCAGTTTTATTTAGATTAAGAAATGTTAACATTTCAACTATTTTAATACTGTTTAAATGCTTTTCTTTGAAGAGCCAGCAGAGCGTGAGAAAACAGTTGAAGAAAGATTCTTTGAAGCTGTTTACCCAATTGAAGGTAGATTGATTAAGTGACTAATTAATATCTGAGATTTTTTAAAATAATTCAAATCTGTAGTTAACCAAAAATCATTGTGAGATTTGCACATGCTGTTGGGGTTTTAGATCTTTTTTTCTTTTCTTTATATTAGCTTATGTGTTTTAGTGACTTTTGTGTACTAGACAAACATAATATCTTCTTAAAAGTTTTCAGATTCACTACCAACATTGATACTTCCTATCTCCAAATTTAATTTCTTTAAAATTCCTATTGTAGCACATAAGGAAGTTGAAGAGCAAGAGGAGGAGGAAGAAGTAATTTCTACAGAACAGGATATCTCACACGTTGAAGGTGAATAAAATCTTTGTATCATCATGTGCTCCATTTTTCTGAACTTCCAGGTTAACTGCCTGTACAGCTCTTTATCAAACAATAGCATATAAGTACTGAGATCTTTCCATCTCTTTGGCTCTGCTTTCAAATGTTGAAACCCTACTGCTTTTCTAAGTGTCATTCTTCTTCATCATCGCTTTAAATAATTCTTTGTCTAGCTTTCTTGAGATGAGCATGTTGTATTTCTTTGATGAAAAAAGTGTATTTTTTTATAGTGTTTGCTTATCCAGTGTGTTGAAAGTATCCTACTGTGATCTTCCAAATGTTTTTGCTGTTTCCTAAGTGTTCACCACCTATCTCTTTAAAGTGCCTGAGATACCTAAGAGGCATGTTCCAGAAGAAAGAAAGCCTGTTCCTGTTCCTAAAAAAGAAGCAGCTCCACCAGCTAAAGGTATTTCTATTGCACTAGTAAACTGAAGAAAAAACAAACAAAAAAAAAAACCCAAACCACAAACACAACAAACCCATCCCCCTGTCTTTCATTATATTATTTTTCATGTTTCCTTGCATATATTTGTGAATTTAATCTCTATGTGGCTTTGGTTTTGCATTATCTCCATATGCATTATTTGATTTTGCATTATTTCCATTATCTCCATACTTTCACTTTTTCATTTATGCTTATAGCTTGCATTTGTCTCAGCTTGGGCCCTTCTTTTGTCCTAACAACCTTGCACTCATTGTTTGTATTTATGTTGAGTGGCTTTTGCGGAAAATGGTATGGTGTTTTTATTTCAACAGAGTGCCATGAAAGGTGATAGTGCAGTAATGTTGACATCAGAATTTTGTACTGTATCATAGTGTCTTTTCCATACAGTCCACTGTATGTCCAAAAGTTTGTACATAGTATTGTGTTGCAGTGGTCAGCTCTTGTCCAGACACTATGTTCTATAAAGCAATCTTGGATTGCTGAAATCTGTATAAGGTGTCCAAAGACTAAAGCTCTCTCACTTTGACAATGTTTTCCAAAGTGCCTGAAGTCCCTAAGAAACCTGTTCCAGAAAAGAAAGTTGCTGGTGCTAAAAAAGAAGTGGCTCCCCCAGCAAAAGGTACAGCATCTTTTCAATGTGTGCTTTAACCAGTCCTGTATTATTGTACTGTTTTCCTTAACTACTATTCACTTCTCCTATAAGCTTATGCTAAATATAGTCTTTGTGCGGTATTTCGTATGTCTGTTCTCATCTAAGACAAACTCAAAAACCTTAGAAAGATACTTAAACAAGTTTTAATACCTTTAAAGTTCCTGAGGTGCCTAAAAGACCTGTACCTGAAGAAAAAGTACACATTCCAGTTCCCAAAGAAAAACCTCCAAGTGCCAAAGGTATACTTAGTGATGGAGTGTACATGTTCCTGTTGAATATCTTTTAATTTTTTTTTTGTCCTGTACTGTCTGTATTATAAATTGTTTTTTTTTTAAATGTATAAGTCTCTGTGTATATATAACAGTTTTTAAGGCCAGTTAACATACGTGAACAGTTCTTTCTTCAGTTAAGAAATCTTTGATAGGCTTCCAGAGACTGGTTTGATTTGTTCATTTTGTTTAGGTTTTTTGTTTGATTGGTTTGGGGTTTTGTTTTGGTTTGTTGGTTTTGTTGGGTTTTTTTTTGTCAAATATATGTTGCTCTTGTCTTACTCCTTTCTATGTTAAATGTATGAATGTGTTATGTAGTATATCTTGATATTCTTGTAAATGGATTAATAAAATTCTGTAATACTTAAATAAATCTTTGAAATATAGAATTCAGTTATCCTGTATTTTATCTGTTTTAAGTGCCAGAGATGCCCAAGAGAGCTGCCCCAGAGACAAAAATTGTTCCAAAAAGAGAGGAAGCTCCACCACCTAAAGGTACACTTAAATAACTAACATTCTTTTCTTGTTATGTTAAACATCTTGTTTATGTCAAGTTTTGGCTTTGATTGGTAACTACAGATTGTTTTAGTTGTACTTCAGTTGCACTAGCTATGTATATTTTGTGTCATTTTTTGTGGATAACTGTGCTATGGATGCAGTCTTAAAACACTTGTAATTTTAGTTACTTAATGTTGTTATAATTCATATTAATTAAGCAACAGAAGTACCTAAGAAACCAGCTCCAGAAGAAAAAATTCCACGTGTTCCTAAAATAGAAGAAGCTCCACCTGCAAAAGGTAAAATGTTGTTCAATGTAATGTCATTTGTTGTAGTCTTTAGAACATTGCACTTGTCTCTCAGCTTGCTCAGCTGTTGTATTTTGCAAGCAAAATATGTCCATGTGTAATCTTTTTGAAAGATATATTTCTTTTACATGATTCTTTTGCCAGTTTTGCACCTTATAGATCCTAAAACTAAATACTTTTTTTTAAGTGCCTGCAGTTCCTAAGAAACCTATGCCTAAAGAAAAAGTATCTCCTGCTGTTCCTAAAAAAGTTGAACCTCCTCCAGCTAAAGGTATGCTTTCCATTAGAGGAAAAAAATATGCTATTTCTTAGCTTCTATGTTCTGTAGTGTTACCCGTCATTGATTTGTACTTCTGTGAATTCTGCTGTTCTGATTTAGTGACAATGAATCATTACAGTATGTGGTATGTGTTGTGCAATTCGTACAAAACCAGTATTTCTAAATATTCAATATCTGTTATGTGTTATGAGCTCAAAATCCTTAAGCAATTCTTTGGAAACTTAGATTTAGCATTTGGCAACATTGCTTTCACAATGGAATTAAAGAAGAATACATTTAATATTATTATCTTTCAAAGTGCCTGAAGTGCAGAAGAAAGCCACTTTTGAAGAAAGAGTTCTTATTACAGAAGAAAGAATATCTGTTGCCATTCCAGAGGAAATCCCACTACCTGAAGGTACATTATAAACAGACAGTAATAAGAAACTTGTGCTTTGTCTACAAGTTTATTTTTTTAAGATCAGATCAAAATACACAGAAGTTTCATGTTAGTTTTCTTGTATGAGTTTTGTGTTGAACATTTTACAGATTTGCAAGTAGTTAAGAGCTTCCTGAGTGTCTTTTACCATATCAGTCTTGAATGCCACGATCCCACCACATTGACACAAATGGAAACTCTACTACTGAATACAGTGATCTTGGGATCAGGTTCTCGTGAAGTCGTAGCAAGAAATATGGACGTATAATGTTGAGTTCAGACTCTGCCATTTAGGATTGTAACCACCCATTTGTCTTGCTCCCTACAAAGTTCTCTGTAGCCCTGCAGATAACAATACTATTTCTCTTTCCAATGTTAGCTTCTCACCAGCTCTTTTAGCTTGCATTCCCATACTCAGGGAAGGTTGAGGTCAATTGTTTTAAGTTAGTATAATTCCAAAATATGTCTGCTTCAGCATAGCTGAAATCAACATTTTGGCCATTTTTATATCCCATTAATAACTAGCCAGGCAAGACAATTTACATACTCTATTAAAAAAGCATAAATGAGTTTTTAAAAGCAGATATGGAAGATACCAAAAATATGAACATGCAAATATATATTCAGATGGATATGTGCACTGTTAATTTCTGTTTGTCCCCTGCAAATCAATGTTTTACCCCAGAACAAGTTGATGTTTTCCTGATACAGTCACCATTGTTGAGATGAAGATGCCAGGCTTTCCTTTCAAATATTGACATACCCTTCTTATCTTGTTCCTCTTCTTACTTTCACATAGCCAGATCAAGGAGCATCCTTTAATTCTTTGACTGTTGTTCCCCCCTTCCCTCAGCTGTTGCGATGAGGAAGTTTGGGGAGCTGAGGTATTCTGGTGGACTGACAATTGACCAGTGAAGGATATTTGAGAGATACAACTGCACACAATAGGGGCATCAGGAAAACACATCATTTAGAGCAAATCCTACATATGTGTGTGTGTGTAGCACTTTCTGTATTGTATGCAAATCTGTCATTGTCATTTAGAACTTGTAAGAATTGATCTTAATCTTCTCCATTCATTGATCCATCAATTGATCCATCCATCCATCCATCCACCAAAAATACTAAAACTAGTAATTTTCTTTAAAGAACCAACAGTTGAAGAATGGTCTGAAGAAGAAATGGAGGAAGTATCTATTTCCATTCACAGGGAAGAAGTTTCTGAAGGTACGACCACAGTTCAAGAATGCTAGGCAAAAGAAAAAAAAAAAAATTTTTGTTTTGTACCAAATATCCTGGGGATTAATGTCTACTCTATTCATTAACAAAAAATTACAACTATATAAATATGTTTCATATCTTATAAATTTTAATGTTAAGAATGCCTACTACTTTCTATTTTGCTTTTGAAAAGTCTAGTAATTAATCCTGCATTGATACAGTGAAAATAATGAGGTATCTCTTGGATGTTGAGAATTATCAGCCCTTTTTTTTTTTTTGGTGTTTTCTTTGTTTTAGTTTAGTTTTTTTTGTTGTTTGTTTTTTTTTACAAAAATTCTCTGTTAGAAGTTCCTCTTCCACCAGGTTGCTTGGATGAAGTTAAAGTCATGGTGTACCTTGGTTCCTGAGACCATTTAATCATAAAATTACGATATTGTTTTCACTTGGGAGTTTATTGGTGGTATCATAATGCTATGAAGGACAGTAACATACATCGATTGACTGAATTTCCATTGAGTCAAATGACACCATGGAAAGTATTTTCAAGATGTGGCTTTAGTCAAGGAATTTTCTTGATATTTGGGAGAGAGGTTTTTTCTGAAAGTGGACAGATTACAACACTGGTGAACTAGTGGACAGAAGAATGGAAAGTGCTGATCCAGTATTTAAAATACTGAGCTTTTTCAAATGCTACAGAACTACAAGTTAGCAGCTCAACCTCAGTTCCATTTAAGTTGCATGGAGTTTTTCCTTTGCCTTCAGAGGGAGCAGGATGGTTTGAATGTAGATTTTGTAACAGCAGAGTTGTCAGTTTTGTTGCTTTAAAGGGCCATAAAGAGAGTAATAGATCTTAAACTCAAGTATTTTTTAACTTTACTCTTTTTAAGTGACTGAAGAAGAGTCTTACTACATAGAGGAGAGGGTAACTGCTCCTAAACGAGAGGAAGCCCCGCCCACTAAAGGTATAAATTCTTTTCATTAAAAAATATTGGTTGTTTCATCATTCTGAGCGTTATGTTGCCACTACATGTTTGTCTCCATTTGTGGTTTTTGTATTAAGGAAATGTGTGCTTGTTCTAGTTTTACTACTCTTTGTAAATCCATGTACTGTAATATTTTAAAGCACCTGAGAAGCACAGGAGAGTTGTCCCTGAACCGAAAGTTCCAGCTGCCCCCAAGGAAGCTCCAGGAGTTAAAGGTACAAATCAGTTCCTCATCTGGGTGATGTATCTTCAAGGAAAATATGTTTGATTTACTGTCTTGTTTCTACATGTTGAAATGGGTGGTGTGCGCTTACAGAGATGAATGGTTGTCTCAAATTCCATCTTGTACTGTGACAGGTATTGTTTGTGTTAACTCAGTAAAGCACACTGTGATATAGTAAGCAATGAAAAATATTGCATCTTAATATACTTTCTTATCTTCCTTCTTATCTTACTCATTTTTCTAAAGTTCCTGAAGTTTGTAAGAAAGTAGCTCCTAAAGAGAAAGTGCCTGTCCCTGTGCCTAAAAAAATGGAGGCTCCACCACCAAGAGGTATACCAGTGTTTTTTTCCTGTTGCAAAAAGCACCTTTTTTTCATGAGTGACATCTTTAACGTATATGCATGTTGATAAAAACATATTTTTCATACCAAATTTCTTCAGCATTATACATGTACTTATGTCCATTTGTTTACAATGTGGTCTCTGGTCTGTGTCATCTTGATGAGATTTATATGTTACTTCATCTTTTATCTTATCTGTCTGTCTGTGAAATCAATCAAGTATTCTAAAGTTGCACAATCTTTTTTAAGAACCTGCAGAAGAACAGGTGCCCACTTTTGAGATAGAAGTTGAAGAACCTCCATCAACAAAAGGTAAACAAACTGAGAATATTATTATCATGGAAAACTTTTTGTTTGGCCTTGCAGCATTTCTGTCTAGTCATTTTACTTAAATAAATTTGTGTTTGTTAGTATCTGTAACTTATGTCTGGAACTCCCCTTTCTTTTGACTGTTTGCTCATCTTTGCACTAAGACTGTAAAGTACAGTCTTCTTCAGTGTCTGTTGTTGTTGAAGTTTATGTAGCATTTTCTTTTTAAAAAGATCAGATTAAGTATAATAATACTTCAAATATTGCAATTAAATACCGTTACACTTATTATTTTCAAGTGACTGAAGTACACAGGAAAATTATCACAGAAGGAAAAGTTGCAGTTGCTAAAAAAGAGGAGGCTCCACCAAAAAGAGGTATATCTTTTTTTCAGAGCTACGCAATAGCAGTCTTGTTTCAAGAATACTGATTTATATTTATAATATCTAATTGTTTAACACAAGCTGTATTGTTCAGTGTTTGCTGTCTTTTTTTTTATTTGACTTGAAGAAATGTCAAGTCCCTGCATTTGTGTTTTGTCATCTGATTATGTTAATAAACTGTGATTGATTCAAAATCATTTTAAATACTTTTTTTTTTTTTTTTTTAACAAAATGTCAGCAGTGCCCAAGAAGCCTGTGCCAGAAGAGAAAGTACCTGTTCCAATTTCACAGAAAATGGCAGGTCCACCAGCAAAAGGTACACAAGTTTGTTTGAAAGCACAGAAGGCTTCCAAATATCAGATGTGCATACACGCAATGTTTCTGGTTAATCAAATCCCAGTCTTTCCTGACTTGGTTATAAATGGAAAGGACCTTTGTCTTCTCCCCTGCAAAAAATGCAGAAGGTGACAGAGAACAGCCACACGCATTCATTCCTTGAATTTTCTAGCACTATTTAACTTCATTGATTACTTTGGCTGCTTAAGTGCTTTGGAAAGCTGAGTTAACACATTTACTCAGTGAAGAAGTTAAATAAATATTAATGCATTAGATTAAAAAAAATATTAATGCTTTATAACATTGTCAATATTCAGTGAAGGGTTTCAAACTTAGAAGTATTTCCTTAGGTTCTATGATTTTCTTGTGTTTCAGAAGTGATTTTGTTATGTATCCTGTATATGTGGTGTCCTGTGGTTTAATTATGTTTCTAAAGAGCCAGGAGGCAAATTATTTGCAACCTACTTTCATCTTAATCATTCCATCTTAATTCCTGATGTATGAATATGTTGTTTGGTTTTGGTGTGGTTTTGTCTATATATGTATTCTTCTAATATTATATGTATTATTTTAGTAGATATTATTTTAACGTTAAATTATATTTGTGTTGTTACTAAAATTGCAAAGTGTTTCAAAGTGTCTAATTTATATTCAGAATTTATTCCTAGACCCCCGCTCCCCCAAAAAGGTATCTTCAAAATACATAATGCATATCTACCTACTATGCATTAAAGCTTCCTCTGTGATTTTCTGTTATGTGTCTTTACATCTGTACAGATGGTGTTACTGTTGTGTTCATTATAAGTGTACTATTTCCCCATAATTGTTTGTCTATAATTCTTTTGTATGAACTTCAGAGAGTGTTATTTTTTTTTTTAAACTTTATAATTCTTACAATTTCCATCTTTAAAGCGCCAGAAGAGCGAAAGAAACTTGCCAGAGAAGAAAGAGTTTCCATTGCTGTTCCAAAAAGAAAAGTGCCTCTACCACCAGAAGGTACTCCTGCCCATGGATTATCCTATGAATAGACTGTCCTCATGCAATACCACCAAAGCTTCAAGCCTGTTGGTCTGGCACCTTTCTTGAAGTTCTAATGGTAGATTCATAGAACCATTTAAGTTAGAAAATACCCTTAAGATCACCAAGTCCAACAGTTAACCTGACACTGGCAAGTCCACCAGTATGTCCCACCATAGTCTCAAGGGAACATTATCAGAGTCTGAGAAACACTAGATGCATATTTTTTTCAATGACTCTGGCTTCGGGAGGTGTCAGAAAATAATAACTAGTTTTCTAAGAACCCCTAAATGGGATATTTGTTATTATACATTATAATCATCCAGAGAAAAATATTAATGCTAGATTCTGTCTTTGAAGTACTAACAGAAGAAGAACACTGGGCTATGTCAGAGGAAGTATCCGTTTCTATTCACACGGAAAAGGAGATCTCATACACAGGTATGAATGGACTAAAAAGATTCTATGTCCAAATTTACGTAATGCTATCTACTTAAAAAAAAAAATAAAACAAACAACAACAGCAACAAAAAAAAACGCTAAGACACACACAAAAAATACTAAACAAAAGAAAACAAAACACAATTTCATGTCCTGTGCAGATCACCAGTTTATCCTGAAAGTTGTTCGTATAATACCACAGCACACTATTGCACTCTCACAAGAAGCTTAAATCTTTCCTCCTGGTTTACTGTTGCCGTAGTGGAAGCCCAACCATTTCACTAGGTCCTACTTTGCAAATCTTGTCACCTGTCTGACCTCTGAGGGTAAACAGGGAAGCCTTTTGCTCTCCTGAAAAGAAGCCCTTTCCTTTCGTGTTGCATGACATCAATTCTTTACCTAAATCTGAAAGTCAAAGAAAAAACCTTTACCTCTGCTGTTGCTTGACTGTCTGTGACACTTAGCACAATACCATATATTGGACCTGCCAGCCCAAGGGCTTTGAGCAAAGTCCATGGCTTTTAAAGAAAATTCATTGCTCTATCACTTTTGGAGGGAATTTATTCAGTTGTGGAAAATGACCCACAAGATGCCTCATACTTACTACTTTCAGACCAGCTGCTGTTGACAAAAAACATTATCCTATTCATATAATGAAAGATTAATACAATCATATCAGTGTGAAGTTAAATAATCTGTTTGTCTGTTGGAGAATTATGTGGAACAGGCAGATCATGAGTACTAAGAGAATGATGGAAGAGGATCTTTTGCTGGCTTTCCTTAAGGGAGTTAACATGCCGGTTGGTCTGGAAAAGTTCAAAGCAGAAAGACATTAAATGCAACAGTTCTCCCATGGGATTCCAAATAGAAGTGCTGTAGCTAGGACAAAAGAAAACAAAGGAACCTGATCGGAAGATGGCAAAGGCATGCATGCACAATGCAGTTTTTGTAATCAATTCAACCAAAGATACCAGATCCAGTCAGGTATAGTTTAAGATTTCAAATGCAGGTGTACTTGACAATTACAATTAAATATCAAGCACGGCTCTGCCGGAAAATATTTGAAGAGCTGGTCAGTCTTCACATTACCCCCCAAAATAACACCCACTTCGCAAACATCAAGACTTGTGGTAGCCACTCATCTATACTCATGTAACTTATCATGAAGAAAGGTTGTTGAAATTCTCTAATGTGTCACTGACAGAATGGATTATCTCTCTTGAGAAGATCAAAATAATTTTCTGTGCAGTTTCCAGTTATACTGGGCAAAATTTTCCCAAGACGCCTCCTCAGAAGACAAGACCCATGCACTGCTATTCTGAAAAAGATAATGAGCTGCTTAAACATAGTGTCTATTCTTTCCTGAATAAAAACTGAACATATTCACACCTTAATCTTTTGGAAATTTTTCTGCTCTTATATGGCATGGTTCCTTGCTATGCCTGAGCAAACAAGCTACTTTGTAAAGCAATGAACAGAAGAGGAAAAACACCTTACTCAGCAAGCAATTCTTTTGCCTTTAGTTAGACCAGAGCTTTTACCTATTGTTAGCCACCCCCAGAGTTTTCTGTATGTGCTCTCTCATCTTTGTCTCCAGTTTACTGTACAGATCTTTTTTTAGCAGTGATTCAGGACTCTTGAGCTATTACTGAGGTAGTGCAAAGTGTCACTGCTGTGGAGAGGGGCTGTCACAGAGAACAGTGGGATTTAATGATTTTGTAATTTGATTGATGAATTTGGATTTTGAGTTCTGCCCTTCAGCAAGTTTAACTTCACTGTTGGCAGCACTGGATGAAGCAGGAATCATATCAGCTCTTTATACTGGGATCTTGAAATGTTTGTTGTTACTTAATTGAAAAGCAGTGTAATGGCTTCCGTAATTATATGTCCAGTGTCAATAAGTGCACTTGTCTTTCACATATAAGCCATA